TCTGGAGTTCCCAGAAGTGAGGAAGTAACTTGTCCAAAGCTTCACATCTCAGAAGAGGTTAGGCAGAGGACAAAGTGAAAAAGCCTACACCAGATTTTTTGAATGTGGTAAGTTAGTGGTGGTGTCAGAAATACAAGCAGAAGGGGCAACTAGGTGGCACAGTGGATAGAGCTCTAGCCTTGGAGTCAGGAGGACCTGAGCTCAAATCCAGCCTCAGACAGTTGACACTTACTAGCTGTGTGACCCTGGGCAAGTCACTTAACCCTGATTGCCTCACCAAAAAGCCAAAAAAGGAAAAAAAAGAAATCTAAACAGGGAAGTCAGGAGTGGAACAGGTTTTGGGAGAAATGAAAGTTTAATCTGAGGTGCTAATGGGAAACCCAGGTGGAAATGACCAATAAGCAATTGGAGATAGGAGTCTGAAGCTTGGGAGAAAATTCCAGGTTGATTGTAAATATTTAGACATTATCTATATGAAGATGATGATTGGAATAATGGTAGTGAATGAATTTGTCAATAAAAATTGGAGGGAATGTTTTGGATATAGTCTTTTCTTCTGGTTTTCCCATTTTAGAGCATTATGCTCTTCATTTCCATCCAGTGATTAGCGAAACGTGTTACACATTAGAAAGAGCTTGTTTGACTGTACAGTTTATCGTTGATTCACATTTTCTACTAGTATATCAAAGACATTTCATAGGTGTATGTTGTCAGACATGGCCAATGATTTGGTTTGTTTTGCTTAGTTATAAGTTGCATGGGAGAATTTTATGGTATCAAGGAGAGGGAGCATCATTAGGAAATGACAGAGATGTGCATTAAAGAAAAAAAATCCATAAAATACTTGTTTAACACAGTAACAGTAAGAACAACAAAAAGCTCCTAACAACTCTGACTTAATGTTTAACATTCTACCCTTTTGTTTGTCCCTCATACCTGGCCTGCTTTTCCCAGTCAGAGCCTTCCTGTTCCTTTATTATTTTCAGTACAGTCAGTCTTTCTATTTGTAGCACTTGTGTTGCCTAGGGTTATGATTAAACACTAAACAATTAGGCTAGAACACCTCTTCTGTGGTATCCCCAGTGGAGGGGGTATATGCAAGCAGTGAAGATGCTTACCTTATGTTTTTCTTGCTTACATAGGCTCTCTCTGCCCTTAGGCCCTAGGCTTCTGTCTTTTTTGCCCTTTTGAGGGTTTAAGGGTACAAACACTATCCCTTGTAGGAAAGTAGCCAACAACTAGAAGCACTTAATTGGGAAGCTTGCTTGGAAACATATAAATCAACATACAATATGATAAATTAAAGTCTTCATAAAAAGTTTGCATTATAAAGTTAACTCCTTTGATTTGTAGATCATAATAGAACTTTCATAATAAGATTGTAGATTTCTGTTTCTGTACTGATATAGTTCTTTTTCATTCCCATAGGTAATTTAGTTCATAGCATTTGATTTTAAATTTTTTTTATATCTTCCTTATTGTCATATGCTCTCCCTAATATGATGATTTGGTGGGTGCTTAGGGCATATGTTAAAGTGAGGTGGGTTTTTTTTGTATGTTTGTTTTTGGTTGTTTTGTTTTCTTATAAAATAAAAGGGTTAGCCTAGATTTGGTAGAATTTGACTATAATTTAGGAACAATATTATTGTGAAACAGCATTGGTTTCATCCTGAGAGTATCTTGATGTGGTAATACAGCCTGATCATTTTGATGTATTTCTTTTCTTGTGGCTTTGGTTTTCCTTACTAGGCCTTGTGTATATAGGTAACTTTATTATAAATTAAATGAATGGGTCCCTCATGTGTAGAATAGGGGTATCATGTGCCTCATTTCTCCCTCCACCCTATTTTAAGGGAGAATTTAATACCTGTCTGGAGAAATGGGAGGTTGGAGCCAGCTGCTAAACTTATGATAGTTCTTTCTTAATGGATGAAAGGAGGACCAAAGCTTTATATCCAAAGTTTGACCCCTTTCCCACAAAATACTAGTTCCACAATGAATTCATATAACAGATAGCAAAAAAATCCATTTATCTAAGTTGACAGCAAAACAGAAGCCAGAGAAAGTATACATAGAAGAATATATAGCAGGCAATACAGGGTGAAGGAGCTCTCTCATTGGGAGCAAGGTAACTCAGCTTATCTAAGATAGAGTACTAGATTTCACCCAATAGGAAATTCTCCAAAGTTTCAATTGTAGCAAGCTACAATTGCTTGCTGCAGAATCATCTTCTTCAGTAGCCTGAAGTGGAGTTGGCATCTTCATCTTCTCTCTTGAAAGCTGGAAGCCAGACGTGCCCGAAGTGACTTGAAGAGAGTCTCGAAGAAGGTCTGAAGGAAGCAGAGCTTTCCTCTCTCCTGTTTTTACTAACTTTGCTTGGTTCTCAAACAGGGGACATTGATTGACCTCCACCAGTGAGTCAAGAGTCCCTTGTGCATGGATTTTGGGACTCAGATTATATAAATAAGTTAAGGGTTAATTAGTGTCACAAATGTCAGAGTGTTTTAAACCCCTGAATTAGGCCATATTCTTTTTTTTTTCTTTTTTTGGCTAGACAATGGGGTTGAGTGACTTGCCCAGGGTCACACAGCTAGTAAGTGTTACATGTCTGAGGCCACATTTGAACTCAGGTCCTCCTGAATCCAGGGCTGGTGCTCTATCCACTGTGCCACCTAGCTGCCCCCTATTAGGCCATATTCTTAACCAGGTGTTTTGGTAGTTGTTTATGTGGTAGACTCATCTTAATAGTTCCTGTGTTTTAGGAGAGTGCTTAAAATATTTTTTTCTTGGCCTTCATGTCTGTAATCTATTCTTCACAGTGCCAAATTATTGTTCCTAAAACACCACTCTGATGATACTTCACTGTTTTCCTGTGATATTAAAAAATACCAAGTCAGTTACTGAAGGCCCTTCATAATTTGGCACTCACCTTTCATGTTATTTCATGTTTACTTCCTTATATATTTCTTCATTCTAGTCAGAGTATTCAGTTAGCTTTTGCTAACATTTAGCTCTCATCTATGTGCCCTTGAACAAGTTGTCCCCTGTGTTTTCAAAGCACTCAGTGTTCACCTCTTGCAATCCCTAAATCCCTTTAAGGTGCAGCTTGGGTGCCATCTCCTTTATGGGACCTTTCCTAGTCCTCCCAGTTGTAAATGCTTTCTGGCTTTAAATTATCTTGTGTATTTATTTATCTATATATCTATATCTATATCTATATCTATATCTATATCTATATCTATATCTATATCTATCTATCTATATCTATATCTATATCTATCTATCTATATATATCTATATATAGATAGATAGATATATCTATATCTATATCTATCTATCTATCTATCTATCTATCTATCTATCTATCTATCTATCTATCTATCTTATCTATCTATATTCACTGCATCTCCTGAGTAAAATGTAAGGTTGTTAAGGGTTGAGATTATTTTTGTTTATATCTTTGTATCCCTGGTGCCTGGAGCAGCTTCTTACAGGGAACTTAATAAATGTTTGAAATGAACTGAATTGAACTCATTTCAATCTAGGTACTTTTAATAAAGATGCAAAAGAAATTTACCCAGTCAGCAACGGTGAAGAGAATTCACCGTTAAGATGAGCTTTGTAGAAAAACCTTGTACAACATGGACTTAAATCTTTACAGGAACATTTTTATTTTTGTTTTAAAATTTGGGTACACTATTTCTTGGGAAAGAAAAGGAAAAAAATACAACTAATCAGTAGAACAGATTCCACTAAGTGAATTACTTCCAGTTAACTATATTTTAACTCTTTACCTTATATCCATCTACTTATTTCATTTTGTCAATATAGAGTAGCTTGTGTAATGTGTAAATTTAGGTAGTGAACTTTTTTTCCTCTCTCTAGTATAAAAGGTTTTAGTGAATCACAAAAGGCAGACATGATTTACTTGACTTCTTTGAAAAACAGGAAAATTAAATGTTTGATTCAAGAATCTCATATTTTATCCTGAACTGATTTTGCATCTGTACTTTTAAAAATGCAAGACAAAAACCCAGTCAGTGGAGATAGCGCTAGAGTAGTTGCTTTATAGAATCATGGTAACTATGCTTGTTCTAATCCAGTGGTCCTTCCTATGACTGCTCCCTTTTTCCCCTCAATTACAGGTGAGCAGAATGGTAACCGGAATCCTGGTGGACTACAGATTGGTGACCTAGTAAACATAGATCTTGATCTAGAAATTGTACAGTCTTTGCAACATGGGCATGGAGGATGGACTGATGGCATGTTTGAGACTTTAACTACAACTGGAACAGTTTGTGGCATTGATGAAGATCATGACATTGTAGTACAGTACCCGAGTGGCAATAGGTTGGTGACATTCAGTTTTAGATAGTAACACACTTGGGATGTGTATATAAAAGTTAGAAAAAAAAATGGATGTAACTAAAAAGCTTTTTAATTTGGAGACAAGTAGAATTTGACTTAATAGAGAAAAACTTAAAGTATTCCACTTTAGGAGGAAAAATAAACAATAAGGAAATACTGCCTCTAACTGTGGCCTTGGGCAGGCTCCTTAACCTTTATGCACCTTAGGCATCTCTCTAATACTATACATTACAAAGATGGTGCTGACCTACATTGGTAGAGGAAGTTTCCTTATGCCAATGAAATTACAGGTCTAATCCCTCTTTCTATCCCTAACGAGAAAAGATTTTATAAGACTGACCTGAAACAAATGAAGCAGAGAAAGTGCTGAAAGTTGTAATGTGTCATAGAAGACTGCCCTGAATAAGTAATGTTGTACCTTTTTATTTACATTTGCATGTTATTAGAAAGTTAATAGGAATGTGGTATTCAAGAATTAGAAAATAATTCTGTTTTGCTTGGCTTTCGTTAGGTCCTAAGAGTTGAACGTCTGATTTTGACAGTCACATTTTGAGAGGTGTGATGACCCTAAGAAGATGTAGAAATGACCAAGAGAATATTGAGAGAGATTAAATAGGCCTTGTAAAGAAATTGTGAAATGAGCTCAAGTTGTTTAACCATGACAGTAATAACAAAACCAATTCCAATGCTTTTTATTTATTAAAAATAGCAGTTATTTTATCCACCTATGCAGTAGTTTGAAGAACATTAACAATAAAAGAATAATAGCAAGATAGTGACTTGTCCCAGGACTGTTTCTTTCTGAACTCCATGGAAAAAGATAGAGATTAATAATATTAATAATACAAAGGGACACTTAAAAAGTGCTTTAAGATTTTAGAAGTACTTAAATACATTCCCTCATTTGATCCTCACAACAGCCTCATGAGGTAAGTACTAACAATATTATCTCTATTGTATAGATGAGTAAATGGAAGCTAAAAGGTTTAATGACATACCTAGAGTAACATATCTAGTATATGTGCTGGTTGGGGACAGGGAAAAGTCATTTTTAGAACTCGGGTGTTATTGACTCTAAGGCTACATACTATTGATTATGCTATGGATTATCATTATATTAAGGGTTATTCAAGTATACTAGCCAGTTTCCCTCTTTTTCCTTATGCAGGCAAAGGAATCTAGTTAAATGATGTAATTGATTATAGGGACAATGAATTACTGTACTAGGCTATTTAGGGGAGTTGTGGAATTTCCATTTCTGAAGGTATTTTTAAAATAGAATTGATGGGCACAATATGAATAGTTGCTCAAATTTTATATCATTATATATACATTATTTAATTCAATGCAAAAACACTGCTTAAAAGTATATACTGGTTAGCAATACTATCATTATTTTTTGGTGTGGAAAGAAAGCCAATGGACTTGCTCAGTAACTAGGAAAACTCCAAGTCAAACTTGTGTCTTCTGACTGTAGATCTAGTGTTCTTACTTACTGTTGTGTGCTCCCTCCTTATGTGGCTGTTAGCTTCTGGCGTGGTTTGCCTTAAGCAGAGACTAGCATAGAATGACCCTGGAGTTATTTTCTGGTTCTGATTTTTCTTAATTAAGAATTAGGTAAATACTTTGAGAAGAGACTCTCCTCTCCACCCTTTTTTGGAGGTATACATTGTGGTAAAACTTATTTTGCAGTGAAATCCCCGTCTGACAGTAAGACAGGAGGAGTTTAGGGGTCAACATAGTTTGTGTGCAAGCCACAAATTTTGTGAGTTTAAAAACTGCATGTAAATTATTTTAAATTTTATAATTTTAGATTTTTTTCTTGCCTTATCCATGCTTGTTTTCTTCTCCTAAAATGTGGATAATGAAGAATTGTTATATATCATGTGATACAAATCTTCCCAATGAGATTGTTAAAGATATTCTAAAAGGTTGGGTTTTTTTTCCTTTTAAGCTTGTGTAAGCTTGTCACCATAAAATTGAGTTACAGCATTTTCATTTTCCAAACCCTTAATATTTCGATTTCTATATGCTCTTAGGCACTATTACTTTTCCAGATCACTTGAGTATTTTTTTTTCAGACAGAATTTTCAGTAACATATTAAATTGCTTTATGCTACTTTTTCATTTTTTTGGCATATGTATAATTTAACTCAACTTTAAAATAGTGGTCCTGTTCCTTGCAAATCTACAGATGAGGAAATATCATAAATTGATTATGTATGTGTGTGTATGTGCACCCTGTATAATTATATATGAACGAATTATAATGGATTGTATGTTCACAAATTGATTATAAGATGATTTTAAAAGATCATTACAATTTATTTCTTTTAAAAAAATTAAAATATTTTGCAAATATTTTGAAGATTGAATTTGGTGCTGACATTTAAAAATATTTTCCTTCTTAGAAAACTCATTGTCAAAAATAGTTCAACTTGAAGAATTAAAAAAATATATATATAATTTGCCATTTATTTTTATTTTTCAGATGGACTTTCAATCCAGCTGTTCTCACTAAAGCTAATGTTGTCCGAAGTGGGGATGCTGCACAGGGTGCAGAAGGGGGTACTTCACAATTTCAAGTGGGTGATCTTGTTCAGGTTTGTTATGATCTAGAAAGAATTAAGCTTCTACAAAGAGGTCATGGCGAATGGGCAGAAGCTATGCTTCCTGTAAGTATATAAAAATGGGACATTTGATTAGGTGAACTTGTTATTAGTTTATATTTTGTTGATTTGTAAGCAGATAAGTGTAAAATTTCCTGGAGTTGAGTGAGCTATTATTTATTGAAAGGTGAACCTTTAATTTTTTTTTTCAGTTAAGAATTAATGAAGGGGGGGAAGGTAAGGAATATAGAAAAGTTAAATTTCCTTCCCAGAGACATTTCATCCATTGCTTCACTTTCTAACAATAATAATAGCTCAAATTTATTCCCATTTTACATAAAAGGAAACTGAAGCTTTGAGAGATTAAGTGATTTGGCCATGTTCATACAATTACTGTAAGTGTGAGGCAGGATTCAGACTTAGAATTCATAGACAATAGATTCCATCCCCTCCAGATATGGTGAACAGAAAAGATAGAATTTTCTGTAGCCTGAGTTAGGCGGTGAGGAAAAGCATTATTAATTGGCACTTCATGTATAATTAATTTTATTTTTGAAAGGTTGTGTTTTGGGATCCTTTTTTGTTATTATTTACAGTGAAAATTGTCATGCTGTAAATTTTCATTCTAGAGAGGTGTTGTAGAGAATCAGAAGCCTGATGTAGGCCCTGCTTTGTGACCCTTGAACAATTACTTAGCCTCTCTGGACTTCATTTTCCTCCCCTAAAATGGGGATAAATGTTTGCACTACCTGCTTCACAGGAGTGCTGGAAAGAAAGAGCTTGGTAAACCTTGAAAGCTATAGAAATGTGAGTTATGAAAATAATGCTTCTTTCCTTTTGAGGCTGCAGCACTTAAATAATTTTTTTCCATTATTCATAAGCATAATTTTTCAGGGTTCCAGAGCTTAATACTTGATTTTTAAAATCAGCTGTATACTAGAACTTCAATATAAGTTCTGGTTTCAAGATGAGTTTTGCTACGGGGCAAAACTGTTTCATACACTGATATTTTGTTGATTTGATGCAGTAGTTAATATCTCTCCAGATGTACTTACTGTTGTGGTGGTTTTTGAGGTGAAGAAACATTGACACTTAAGATAATGATTTCTCAAGACCTTTCCCCTCAGGAGGCTTGCAGTCATTGTGATTTAGTGCTTTTAGTAGTTATTTTATTTATCTATTTATTTTATTAGAAGGTTTCTGCTGCCCTTTCAGTGTATTTTCACTTTAGAACTTTACTTGAAGATTAAATATTTTGCATTAACTACTTAACAACATTAATTTCTGTGAGTGATAAATTAGCTTGAACACTTGCCTTATATTATATGGTGTCCTTGAAGAGAGAGCTCATTTATATAACCTGAATGTTGTTTATTGTAAGTTTTGTTTTTCTTTTTTGGCTCATTGTCCTAATATAAAAGTAGCTTGTAAGAAGGAGAAGAGGTAGTGCTCTTTAGTTTAAAAAAAAAATCAATATATGATGAAAGGGGGATTTTTATGAAAAATGGTAGATTGAATGATTTTGTTAAATCTTTGTTTTTATTCTTTGTGAAACTGTTCAGCAATAATTCTGATTTTATTTTAGGGAGATATTTTAATAAAACTACAGCTACTAATTTCATGTATTAGTACATTGTACTATTTAGTTCACAGATGTAGAACCTACTTCAGTAAGATTAGCATTTTTTTTTTGGTTGAGCTAAAAGCTAAACTCAGGTGTCATTTAAAAATATATTAATAATGACAAACAAATTACTTTGTGACAGTCATTTTATATGTGAAAATTTATGGCTGTTTGTCATATTTTTAAGACCTTAGGGAAAGTTGGCCGTGTACAGCAGATTTATTCAGACAGTGATTTAAAGGTAGAAGTTTGTGGGACATCTTGGACATATAATCCTGCAGCTGTTTCCAAGGTGGCATCAGCAGGATCAGCTATTAGCAATGCATCTGGGGGTATGTACTTTTTAAAAAAATGGTTTATTTTTTAAATGTGTTCAAGGGCAAAGTATAATTTTAATTATAAATAAGTTACATAAAAAATTTGGATGACGTACTGTGTTATTTTATAGTGCTCTCCATTCTTGTTTCTCTTTTTTTAATTAATTGTTTTAATTAAATAGTTTGCTTCAAGTTGGAGCAAAATCATCCTCTGGCAGTGATAAGTAAATAAAAGAAGTAGATGAAGGGAGTACAGTAATGTGTATGGTATCTTTCCAATTTTCCTCTACTTGCTTTCCTTTTCAGTAAATGTATCTAAGAACTGGGTTGTGAGGGCTTTTTGTTGGTGAACACCTGTAGTGGCTGATACTGTTTTGGTTCAGATTAGCAGGAAGGAGGATTGCCTGTGAAAATGGCTTATAAAAGTGGTAACCCTCTTGCTAGTTATGCCTTATTTTGATTAAAACAAAGCAGACAGTAACTTTAGAAATATATCATTAGGATTTAGAATTGTAGTCTCAACTAAAAAAAGATTAAATACCATTTTTACAAAAACTTAATATATGATATTATAAAGAATTGTTATAATTGTAGAACATCGAATTCCTAAGACTTTAGTAGGACTGGCTATAAAATCTATTGTGCTTGAAAGTGAAAGTTGGGATAATTATTTTCATTTTTCAAATACCAGTCTTTGAGCAATGTAAAAAACTTGTTTTTCAATGTGAATTCCATCATAGTATGTCAGTTCATAACATCTTTGTTATAAATACAAATTTTTGAATTGCCTTTACTATGCAAATCTGTTTCCAAATTCATGAAACAGTGATTTTGAAGAAACACGTTAATACTGGTTTCTATAGTGTACCATAATTTCAGGTCGTATAATTATGGCTTATATGATAAATTATTTGTAATATAGGAAAAAAGAAAATAGTTTGCAGTGTAATAATTCTAGAAGTAATTAAGACATAGTAAAACATGTCTTCTAATGTTTTAAATTCTGAGTTCCATCATTTTCCTATATCCACAGTTTTACTTTGTATTTTCAGAGAGACTATCTCAACTCTTGAAGAAACTATTTGAAACTCAAGAGTCTGGGGACCTTAATGAAGAATTAGTTAAAGCTGCTGCTAATGGAGATGTTGCTAAAGTAGAAGATTTGTTAAAGAGACCAGATGTTGATGTAAGCATTTGTAATTTATAAGTGTCTCTAAACTTAACAACCCTTTTCACTTTCAGATGGTTCAGTTTCCTTTTGGAGAAGTTTAATATCAATTTTTCTCTTCCAGAATAAAAATTTGGCCTAGGTTGCCCTCTATTTGATGGTAAACAACTTTGTTATTTTCATTATCCCCTGTTTCTTAAAGGGGATAATAAGCTTTCTCAGCTTATTTTGTATGAAAAACTGTCAAGCTAAATTCTTTTGAAAGTAGTGTGTGTATGCCCTTCATATATAAAATACATATATATAGAGAGAGAAAATCATATATAAGGCATATATACATATATAATCACTCTACTATCACATCAGTAGGATATATGCTTTGAGATTTTTTTTTAATATATTTTCCCTGAATCAGTGATACACTCTCAAGTCTCTTTTGTTACCAAAAACTCATGTGTGCGAAATAACTAGCTTGAGTTAAAGGTGAATTCTTTGACATTGGATGTGAATGAAATTGACATTTGGGGATGAAATTTGAGGATTTGGCCTTGTTAGCATCATACTATGACTGTTTTTACAACGTCCTTTATGATCAAGGAGATGTCATTGCAACTTAAGTCTCTGTTCTTCCTATGCAAAGATGTGTCCTTGTTCCTATTCAAAAGAAGCAGGATAGGTAAAAATGGTGGAGAGAAGGATTGGTATAATGTTGTATGTACAGAGGGTATACCCATGTGAAGAAAGGGAAGAAGCAGCATGTTGGAGAGCATTTGAATGAAACTAAGTAGAGGGAGAATCAAAAGTGATTATATTCTTGGAGTATAGAACAGAAGACAGGGTCAGAAAGATAAAATAGAGTTTGGGAAACAGATCACTAGCCTAATGAGGCATGATCTAGTAGTAATGGTGGGGGACTTCAGTTATTTGGATTTTTGAGGCTTTTTCTTTCTGCAAAAGGGATGTATCTTATAATTTCTTGATTTGTCTTTATGATAATTTTATCCTTCAAAAGATGAAGGAACCAATAATGGGAAACTCTGTTCTGCATCTGATTCTCACTAACAGGGTGGTACTAATTGCTGGGGTAGAACTAAAGGGGGCCACTTGAGGAATTGAACACTCCTCTTACAGTTTTTGGTAGAGGAGAAGAAATCCAGAAATAGTCTTATGTGTACCCTAGGATTTAGAAAAGCAGATTTCAGAAGATTCAGAGAAAAAATAGAATTCCATGGGCTAAAAAAAAATTTTTAATTAATTTAGTTTTAGTTTTCAACCAATCACTTTCATATGCTTTTGAGTTTCAAATTTTTTCCCCTCTTCCCTGCCTCCCTCCCCAAGACAGCATGCAATCTGATATAGGCTGTACATAAATGTTCCTGTTAAACATATAAATTAGTCATGTTGTGAAGAAGAATTGGAACCAATAGGAGGAACCACAAGAAAGAAGAAACAAAACAGAAGAAAAAAAAAGAGCGAATAGTGGGCATTCAAACTCCATAGTTCTTTCTCTGGATGTGGATAGCATTTTTCCATCATGAGACTTTTGGATATGTCGTAGATCCTTGCATTGCTTAGAAGAGCTAAGTCTATCAAAGTTAGTCATCACACAACGTGGCTGCTATAGTGTACAACATTCTCCTGGTTCTGCTTACAAGTTTTTTCCATGCTTTTCTGAAATCTGCTTACTCATCATTTTTTATAGCACAGTAGTATCTTTTTTTAATATAAATTTATTTATTTTTAGTTTTCAACATTCCCTTCCACAAGTTTTTGAGTTCCAGATTTTCACCCCATCTCCCCCCTCCCCCCACCCCAAGATGTCATGCATTCTGAATATCCCTTCCCCTACTCTGTCCTCTCTTCTATCTCTCTCCCCTTCTCTTATCCCCTTCCCCTTCTATTTTCCTGTAGGGCAGGATAGACTTCTGTACCCCATTTCCTATATTTATTTCCCAGTAGCATGTGAAAACATTTTTTTAAACATATGTTTTTAAAACTTTAGGTTTCAAATTTTCTCTCTTCCTCCCTCCCCACCCACCCTCATTGAAAAGGCAAGCAACTCAATATAAGTTGTACATGTGCAGTTATGCAAAACACGTCCATAGTAGACATGTTGTGAAAAACTAACTCTATTTCCCTTAATCCTATCCTGCCCTCCCATTTATTCTATTCTTTCTTTTGACCCTGTCTCTCCTCAGAAGTATTTACTTCTGATTAACCCCTTTCCCAATCTGCCCTCCTCTCTATCATCCCCCTGCTCTCTTGTCCCCTTTCCCCCCTATTTTCCTGTAGGGTAAGACAGATTTCCATACCCAATTGAATGTGTATGTTATTCCCTCCTTAAGCCAAATCCTATGAGAATAAGATTCACTCATTCCCTCTCACCTTCCCCTGTTTCCCCTTCCACTGTAAGAGACTTTTCTGGTTTTTTTTGTGAGATAATTTACCCCATTCTACCTCTCCCTTTCTTCTTCTCTGAGTATAATCCTCTCTCATCCCTTAATTTTATTCTCCAGATATGACCCCTTAATCTTCAGCTCACCCTGTGCCCTCTATCTATCTATCTACATATACATATATATAATTTTTTTCCTCCAACTACCCTGATACTGACAAAGGTCTCATGAGTTATAAATATCATCTTTCCATGCAGGAATGTAAACAGTTCAATCTTAATAAGTCTCTTATGATTTCTCTTTCCTGTTTACCTCTTCATGTTCCACTTGAGTCCTGTATTTGAAAGTCAAATTTTCTATTCAGCTCTGGTCTTTTCATCAAGAATGCTTGAAAGTCCTCTATTTCACTGAATGACCATTTTTTCCCCTGAAGGATTATACTCAGTTTTGCTGGGTAGGTGATTCTTGGTTGTAATCCTATCTCCTTTGCCCTCCAATATTATATTCCATGCCCTGCGGTCCTTTAATGTAGAAGCTGCTAAATCTTGTGTTATCCTGATTGTGTTCCACAGTACTTGAACTGTTTCCTTCTGGCAGCTTGTAATATTTTCTCCTTGACCTGGGAACTCTGGAATTTGGCTACAATATTCCTAGGAGTTTTCCTTTGGGGATCTCTTTCAGGAGGAGATCTGTGGATTCTTTCAATTTCTATTTTGCCCTCTGGTTCTACTATATCAGGGCAGTTTTCGTTGATAATTTCTTGAAAGATGATGTCTAGGCTCTTTTTTGATCATGGCTTTCAGATAGTCCAATAATTTTTAAATTCTCTCTCCTGGATCTATTTTCCAGGTCAGTTGTTTTTCCAATGAGATATTTCACATTGTTTTCTAATTTTTCATTCTTTTGGATTTGTTCTACTGTGTCGTGATTTCTCATAAAGTCACTATCTTCCAATTGCTCTATTCTAATTTTTAAGGAAGTATTTTCTTCAGTAAGCTTTTGGACTTCCTTTTCCATCTGGCCAATTTTGCTTTTTAGGGCATTTTTCTCCTCATTGGCTTTTTGGACCTCTTTTGCCATTTGGGTTAGGCTATTTTTTAAGGTGTTATTTTCTTCAGTATTTTTTTGGGTCTCCTTTAGCATCACTCTCAGTTTTTCCTCTACTTCTCTAACTTGCTTCTCAAAATCGTTTTTGAGCTCTTCCATGGCCTGGGACCAATTCATATTTTTCTTGGAGGCTTTGGATGTAGGGGCTTTGACTTTGTTGTCTTCTTCTGGTTGTATATTTTGGTCTTCTTTTTCACCAAAGTAAGATAATATAGTCTGACTCTTTTTGCGCTGCTTGCTCATGATCCCGGCCAATTACTTGAGTTTTAAACTCTTTGTTAAGGTACGAATCTGCTTCCAATGTGGAGAATGTACTGTCCCAAGCTTCAGGGGTTTGTACAGCTGTTTTCAGAGATACTTGTAGGGACCTGTAAATTTTCAGTTCTTCCAAGGTGGTATGATAAGAGGAGCAGCGTTTACTCCTTTCCTGGCCTGTGACTACAAGTATTCCTTTCTGTCCTGTAACTGTGAGGAGGGGTTCCTCTCCACACCACTACAAGCTCCACCAGCCACGCCCTCCTCACCCCAGCACTGCCCAGAACTGTGGCCCAGATCCAACACAGGCAAAGCAAGAGATTCCTGCCTCAGCACTGGCAAAGAGATCCCTGCAATCCCTCTCTGATCAGCCACTGGATTCCCCCTCAGTCTGTGGGCCGGAAGCTCGGGAAGCAGCTGCCCCCCACAGGGCCACACTCTTGGGGAATGGAGCTGAAACCCCGCCTTCCTTTCTCAGGCACCGACAGAAACAGACTTTTCCCACTGACCTTCTAATTTGTCTTTGGCATTGGTGGATTGAGGAGTCTGGAAACCTCCACAGCTGCCCGAGATTCAGTCCTCTGAGGCCTGCTCCAGGTTTGCTGCAGCCTGCGCGCCCATGCTGCGCTGCGCTGCACTCCCAGCCCGGCACGATACACCTTTCTGATCAATCATCCAGGTTGTCTTGGGCTGGAAATTTGTTTCACTCTGTCTTTTTGTGGGTTCTGCTGCTTCAGAATTTGTTTAGAGCCATTTTTTATGAGTTTTGGAGGGGTTTGGAGGAGAGCTCAAGCAAGTCACTGCTTTCACTCTGCCATCTTGGCTGCGCCCCCTATAGCACAGTAGTATCCCATTACATTCATATACCACAACTTGTTTAGCCATTCCCCAGTTGATGGGCATCCCCTCAATTTCCAATTTTTTGCCACCACAGCAAGAGCTGCTATAAATATTATTGTACATGTGGGTCCATTTCCCATTTGTATGATCTCTGGGATACAGCCCTAGAAGTGCTATTGCTGGATCAAAGGGCATGCACATTTTTATAGCCTTTTGGGCATAGCTTCAAATGGCTCTCCAAAATGATTGAATCAGTTCACAATTCTACCAACAATGCAATAGTGGTCCAATTTTCTCACATTTTATCTAGCATTTATCATTTTCCTGTTTTGTCATGTTAGGCAGTCTGGTAAGTGTGATGTGGTACCTCAGAGTTGTTTTGATTTGCATTTCTCTAATCAATTGTGATTTAGAACATTTTTTCATGTAACTAGATAGCTTTAATTTCTTCCTCTGAAAACTGCCTGTTCATATCCTTTGACCATTTATCAGTTGAGGAATGACTTGTATTCTTATAAATTTGACTTAGTTCTTTGTATGTTTTAGAAATGAGGGGACTAAAATTTTTAAGGGGAAGAACGACTGAGGTCTTTTCCAGCTCCTAAATTCTTTTAATTCTTTTGTCATAAGGCATTCAGTACTGCTGTTTTCCAAAAAAGCAAAAAATATAAACTTGCCCATAGAAACTAAGTAATAGTAGTTTTCAAATTTTGCCTTTTCAGTTTTCATCAAACAGTTGGTGTGGACCAGGCCTGCACAACCTGCAGCCTGCCAAAGGATTTTGGGTGGCCTGTGAATAATGTAGAGGATGTTTTTCTCTGCGTTTTTCGAGGGCTGCTCAAAATCTTTTGGTGTGCTGCAAGTGGCCTTTGGGCCACAAGTTGTGCAGGTCTGGTATAGACCCATGATTCCCAGTTTCTTCAAGTAAAACCCTTATTTAACCCTAAAAAATTTCAGATTTTGCACATAATAGTAGTTATAGTAGATGAGAGTATATGTAAAAGTGGTTTGCAGATGTTAAAATGCTTTATAAATGATCAGTTGTTTGTACTGTTAACATCCATTGAGGAAATAGATGACTAAATTCCATTGACTGTATTCTTTCTTTCACTATAACATAATCCAGTTTCACAGTGATTTTTTAATTTAATCCAATTAAAATGTACATTTCCGTAAGAAGGGCCTTATGAAATCTTAGTAAACAGCTCAGATGGCCTACTTTGGGAGAGGCATCTTGTCCAAAGAAAATGTCATACTTTATTCCCAAAAGGCAAAGAAATTTCTTTTCCATTTAGAAAAAAGGAAGCAGTATTAATATAAAATTGTTTACAAAACCCTGTTACAAATATTGTGTATTTTATGGAGCTAAAGAAATAAATAAATGACGACTTGGTGCATATGTGGAATTAAGTATCTCTTGCAATAACTCCTTGGTCCCCCAGGGTCCTTATCCTACTCTTTAGGAAATTTAAGAGTATAGCCATTAGGTGAGATTAGGTTAGTAGTGAAGGCAAATGACAAAATCATGTATTATATTTGCTGTGACACAGTTGAGTCTTTAAAATTTAAGAGAGGAAGAGAAGTCTTATAAACACTTTGAGTTTCCTCCAGTGTAACAAGTGTAGGAATTTACTTCTTAGTGAGTCATAACTACATAGAATGTCCCCTTGTACATCATAATTATGTTCTTTTGGTAGCTTCTAGAAAAATATATAGTTCCTTCATTTCTATACTCACGATATAAAGAATAGTGATTAAGGAGAATAATATCATAACTACTTATTGTTTATGGTTTAGGGAATGATAGCAGTTACAAATGGCAGTAAGAGGCAGAGACTGTCATAATAGGGTTTTTTTTTGGTCATAGACTTGTGATATAATGCCTCAGTGAGTGATTTGAGTGAATCTGTTGTTTTAGCAGACATAATCGATTCTTAACCTTACTAAAATTTTTATAGGTGGCTGTCACAAAGATGCATTTGCTTTATAAAGGAAGTTAGGAATTATGACCCTTCTCACAGTGTTTGTGGCAGCAAAGCTAATGGTTTTCTGCAAGGGAAACTCATGACGAGAGGATATTTGTTTGCCTGTAAACTGTTGGCTTTCAGTGGAAGAACCCTGTGAAACATAGTGGGGGGTTTTTCCCCTCTCTTTTCTCCCCTTCTTCCATTTTTCTAGAGCTTTTTTATAAAATAAACCATGTTTATTAATAGAAGGTAATGGGAATATAGAGTTCTCTAGCCAAGTTCTCTAGTGTGTTGTATCTGTTTGCTAAAATGAGATATACCTGTACGTTTTACCCATTCCAACCCCCTTCTTATGCAGAACTAGCTAAAAGCAGTCAGTCAGTAGACATTTGTTCAGTATTTACTGTGAACATGTCACTGTACTAAAAAGCAGGTAGAGTGCCCACTGTAACTCCCATGCTGTGCTGTCGTATTTTTGTTGGTTTTGTTGCCTTTAAAAAGGGTATTGATTCAAATCCAGCCTCCGACCAAACACCTGACATGTACTAGCTGTGTGACCCTGGGCAAGTCACTTAACCCCAATTGCCTTTAAAAAAAAAAGGGTTATTGATTTCAGATTCTAGAAGTGAACATGCATGGAAATATAATCCCAGCCCCCATTATTCTTCGTATTATTGTCTCCAGACTAGCATGATGTGGTCGAGATCCTACATCTCTAACTGTTCTTCATGAAAAGTTTTCTATTAAGTCCATTTAAAAACTTCAAAAAAAATTATTTACTCTTAAACTTAGTAACCATCAACAAAAACGTATTCAAATAAAGCAGAAAAGATAAGACTTGAAAGCATGAATTCTGTTATTTGCAGTTTGCTTTAAAAATTTATAAAATAACAGATTTGTAAAATAACAAATATGCTATTTACTTCCATGGTAGAAACTTAGCTCAGATTTAGGAATATAAATGGAAAAATAAAGATAGTATCAAAAACTTTACTTCATACTCTATGCACACTGAATTTGTGGCTGTTAAAAAAGAATTAGCTTGTGCAATCACAGATATGTGAAGATAACTGACATTTTAGAATTTTAAAGACCATTGCATATGATATCTTTTGGGTATTTAGAGTTATGCTTAGCTATCCTGACAATCATTTTATTTTGTTTTTTTCAGGTAAATGGACAATGTGCTGGACACACTGCCATGCAAGCTGCTAGTCAGAATGGACATGTTGACATTTTAAAACTGCTTTTGAAGCAAAATGTGGATGTAGAAGCAGAGGTAATTAAATAACTAGTCTCAACAAAAATATAGGCACATGTGGAAATGTTATAGTTGAAAATAGTTGAATTATATGCTCCTATTCCTCTAACTATATCAATTTTATTTTTAATTTTCACTTCAGGGCCATCAGCACTTTTTGATTTTTTAAAAAAGTCAAGTCAGTAAGCATTTATTAAGTGCCTGTGCTAAACGCTGGGCATACAAAGACCCCTTCCCTCATCCCATAAAAAATCCCAAGAGAACAATTTCTACTCTCAAGAAGCTCCTAGTCTTATAGGAGGGATCCATACAAATAGCTACGTACAATAAACAAGACACATGCAGGATAAGTTTGAGATAAAATTGAGGCAAGGTAGTAAGATCAAGGAAGACTAGGAAAGAAATAACCCTAGCATTTATGTAGTTCTTCAAGGTTTGCAGAGTACTTTACTGTGTTAGCTCATTCAATCCTCACAACAACCTTGTTGGTAGGTGATATGATTATACTCATTTTATAGGTAGGGAAATAGACACACACAGAAGTTAAAACTTCGCCAGGATCACACAGCTAGTAAGGGTCTGACCCAGGATCTGAACTAAGGTCTTCCTCACTCTTTGTTTCTTTTACTCTTTTTGGTGGGTCAGTCAGGGTTAAGTGACTTGCCCAGGTCACACAACTAGTAAGTGTTAAGTGTTTGAGGCTGAATGTGAACTCAGGTCCTCTTGACTCCAAGGCCAAACCCTGCCCTCTTCCTGACTTAAATCCTACACTATCCACTGGGCAATTTGAGAACCACAAGAGAACCTTATTCAAACATTTTCATTTTATAGGTGAGGAAATGAAGGGCTAGAACAGGGCATTGTCCTCTATGTAATTCTTGTTTTCTTTAGTAATGCTGGATGAGTATAAGAAGAAGTAGGATAAATGCTAATTGCATGCTCATTTGCTGAGATTGAATGGCTGGCTGGTTAGCAGGAAATCCACTGGTGTTTGTGTGACTCTTTATGATGGAGCCAAGAGTTTTCTGTCACTAGTTACCCCAAACCTGCTCCAAGGCTTGTGAGAGCCTTCTAGCATTCTAGTGACAGGCTCAGTGGGCATCTTTTTATTCCACGTCATTGTTTCCTTCTATTAGCAGAGATTGAAGGTAGTGTGTATCAAATATCTTATCTTTCTAGTTTATTATAACTTTAGCTAAGTTTGTCCCTAGAAATTTTTTATCCAGATATGACTTCTGCTTAATGTGATGAAGAAGAGAATAACTTTGTTCTTGTTGTTATCACTTTTCTTCCTGCTAAAATCATATTGACCTGTGTTGGCGTATCTTCTTTAGGCTTATTTAGAAATGCGTCACATTTTTCTTTATTGTTATTTTAGGTTATATAAATACAGGTTTTTTTTAACATCTTGTTTAAAGAGCAGTATCACTTAACTAAGTGCGTTCCTTGCAGAAGCTTTACTTTTTGAATGTGAAACTGTTGTGTAATGTTAATAATGAAAAATTAATCTATAGTGTCCTAAAAGTGGGAAAGCACATCATGCTTCTTGTAGGTTTTGTGGTCATCTTTAGCTAAAAAAAGTGTCACCTTTTTTTTCCCTCAGGGATTATAATGGTGGTGATTTAAGATTTAAGGTTCTGGTCCTGCAAACACTGATTGCCTTGAATTGGGAGATATTGCTCTGGTTGCTTCATATTGTGCCATTGTAATACTATTTATTATTTTTTGATAGTTGCATATAGAGTGTATGTTTGCTTTAGTAATATTCATCTTTTTCTTTTTTCATTAATCCCTAAGCCTAGTGATTTTTTTATGGTGATTGTAAAGAGATTTAAAATAACTTCAGTTTTAACTAAGAGGAGAAGGATTACATAATTTTATTTCATTTTGATCTGGGATGTGACATAAGAATCTTTATAGACAAGACTGCATTTTAATTTGAGTAGTTTCAAAGTAGATAAAAAAACCTTGTTGTTTCAGCTAATATAAAAGGCAGTAAAGCTGAGTTCCTTTTATGCTTGATATTTTTTTTAAAGAATAAAAAAGATTAATTGTCTGATTTTGAATTCTGTTATTAAGACTGGCAGCATGGAAGCATTGGATAAATTTGTATATACTGCCAGGCTTGGAGTTTTGAATGATATGGGTGATGGCACTTGATGTGATTTACTTTTATTTATCTGAACAGAAAGCAGCAAGGGGCTGTGAGGTGTATCCTGTGATTTTGAAGATAAAGAGAGTAGTTGGCATAATTCTTTAAAAATGGGTCCTTTTTAGGGGGTAGGTGGGTGGTTCAGTGGGTAGAGCACCAGCGCAGGAGTCAGAAGGACCTGAGTTCAAATGTGGCCTCAGACACTTGACACTAGCTGTGTGACCCTGGGCAAGTCACTTAACCCCATTGCCTGGGCCCCCCCACCAAAAAAGGGGGGGGACCTTTTTTTTTAATGGAGTCTCAAATACAGACTGAATTGCTTAGCTACTATTAATGCAAAGGGAATGAGTGGGAGTAAAGTTAACTCTATGAGAAATGCTATAGAATAATATCTCACTGAAGGAAATCTGAAGTTACTAGGAGAGAAATGGAATGTGTGGCACCGTCTTAAGTTGGTCCCTCTTTAGTATTTTCAGTTGTTTTTTTTTCCTTTGAAAATGTACTAGAGGCAATAGAACAGATATGACACACAAAAAAAGAAACATATTTATAAATATGATTAAAATAATCTAAAATATTCTTTAATAGCAAATTTTTAAAAACAAATTTTCAGCAAAATAAATAGTTTCATACTATTAAAAACATTTTTCTTTGTCTAGGTTATGAGCATTTTTTTAAACCATTAATCAGACAACATTATAACTTTTTCATTTTGTGAAAAATATAAATTTTTTCATTTTTATAATTCCCATAAACTTGGCAAGTCTATTAACAGTTCATTCTTTTTTAAATTGTAAGAAGTGACATTGTCAACAACTCAATAAAAAATATCTTGAGATTTTGTCTACCTTTTGATTTATTAATTTAGTCACCTAGGTTTATAGCCTTGGATTTGTCTTTAACTCTTCCCTTTCATATCTAATCACTTGCTATTTTGTTTTTATTTTGTTTCTCCATTTTGTCTTTATGATTAGCTTGGGGGCATAGCATGTAGGCACTGAATAAATGTTTGCTCTTTGCTGAATTAAGTGTCTTAACGTTTAACCTTTTAGATTTTCCATATAATATTGGTTACCATTAACAATTTTTAATTTGGTTGGGGAAATATTAGCAAACCAAATAATTTGGTAAATTTAAAATTTTGAGGGGTCAGTTATAGAATGATTATTCTTTGCTGTTTCTCTTTAGGGAAAATTGAAAGATGTATACTGGGAAATTGTTTGTCTCTTGGAATTTACCTTTCCTTTTCAGTACAGTAAGATTTCATATTATTTTCCTTTTAATATATAGGTAAAACTGTTGTGGAGAGTATGAAAAGATAGCTTAGCTGTATAAGTATACTAATTTTAGGCCCATCAAATTGTCGATATGTCTCATAACTGAAATGAAAGTAGTGCTAACCATGATACAAAGTGAGGTAGGACAAAAACACATAATTTTAGCCTTTAAAAAAACCTTCAACTAGGTTCTAACCAAGTGTTATTTAGAACACAAAACTGAGTTGCTGTAAGAGTGTAGCAGTTCTATGCATACTGACGTAGAATTTAATTCCAGAAACACATTGTATTATATAGTTCCTGATCATAGGTCCATAGACTTTGAGCTAGAAGGGACGTTGGAGATGAGTCTAATCTCCTTCTATTCCTGTTGAGGAAACAGGCTTAGAGAAGTGACTTGACCAGGGTCCCTCAAGTAGCAGTTGTATGGCCTGAATCCAAGTGCTCTGTAAATCCTGCACATCACAGCGTAGACTAACTAACCCTGGTGCTTTTTCTCATGGGCCTGAGAGACTAGGTAGGAAATCTACATAGCAGCAGTGTGAAAACTAAGCAAACTTGTGGTGTTTTGGTACCTTAAGGTTTTCAAAATGCTTTCCTCTTGTAACAACCCTATGAGGGAGATATGGAAAGTATTATTTTCATTTTATAGAAGAGAAAAGAGGCTCAGAGAGATTGTAATTTCCTCAAAGTTACATAATTAGTAAGTATAGTGAGTGCCAGGGCCAGAATTCAAACCTGGGTTTCTCCTGACTTTGTATTCAGTACCCTTTCCTGTTATAATATTACCTCACATTTATATATCCGTTTTAAGTTTACAAATGTCTGTCCAGAACACCATATTTACCTTTCATCTTACATAAATTATTATAAAACAAAATAGTAATGATAATTATGTAAGAGAAGACCAGGCTAAATTCTGTATGGTATTTGAGGTAGGAAAAGGCCATTAGTGATCAGCTAGAGGGTATGAGGAAGGCTTCCTTGAGAAGGGTTGGATTCTATTTATGCAAAGGATGCAAACGATGAGGACTAAAAAAGGACTTTGGATTTGTCAGCTGGTTGGTCATTGGTGAACCATGGCACAGAAGGACAGAAATTACTATTGCAGGGGGATTGGAAGTTTGATTGCCATGGAGTTAAGTAGAGGGTTGAACAATGTGAAAGTGAAAGAAATAGTTTTAACTGGCTCGTTTAAGAACTTGGGCAGGGAAGGGAAGGAATTAGATGGGTTAGTTGGTGAATGAAGGGGAAGGAACAACAGAAGACTTTGAGGATTGGAGGTGGTGTTTTTTTTTTTCTTCTTCCCAGTTTGTAGGCATGTTGTGAGGAGTCAGTGGAGATGAAGAGACTGGACTAGATAAATAATAACTGTTGGAGCAAAGTCTTTAAAGAGGAAGGCACAGAATGGAATCAGTAGCAAAGTATACATACTCTTAGCAAGAACATTGGCACTTCTTCCTCTCAGCTAGAGGGGAACAGAATTGCGATGTTGAGGAGGCCTCTGCTGAGTGGCCTTAGGCTTGTGAAAGTAGGAGACAGAATCATCTGCTGAATGTGTGGAGTGTGAGGATTGCATTTTTAGAGGCAGGGAGAAATATGGGTTTGGAACAACTGCTGTGAGCTAGGGAGTCAGCAAGAGTATAACAGAAGCATTTCTGATATGGAATGAGAGTCCAGGATTATTGTGTTGGATCTGCAACTCATTTAGAGAGATAGTATATAGTGTAAGAATGCAAAAAAAGTTTAAGAAGATTTTAAATATTCTTGAATACTAGATTAAGGGAAGTTACGATGTCGGGGCTATATCCCCAGTTTCTTGAGGGTGACCCCTTAGAAGGCAGTTATTGTTCTTTCAGTTATTGTTCTTTCTTCCATGTTGTCTTGTGACCTAATACTGACCTTTATTTTTACATCTGGAGAATTTGAAGCGACTACTCAGGAGAGCAATAGAAATTATAAAAGGTTTGGGAAGAAGTAAAGTCGGTAAGGTGGTCTCTCTAACTCAGAGGAGCTAGAAAAAGAAACTTGGTTGTAGTCTTTTAGCACTTTACAAATAATATTGCATCCTCACAACAACACTGGGAAGTCTGTTATTATCCCCATTTTTCAGATGAGGAAACTGAAGCACAGAGAGGTTAAATGACTTGCCCCAGGATCTCACAGCTAGGAAGTGCTGAGGCCGGATTTGAACTTGGGTCTTCTTGACTCCAGGCCCACCACCTTATCTATCATACCACCTAGCTCCCAATGCTGAATGAAATATTTCTATCTTCAGTCAGTGAGCAGTCTTTACGAAGCATTTACATGTGTCAGGCATTTTGCTGCTGGGCATTGCACTAAGAATGCAAACAACAAAATACCTACTTGCCAAGGAGCTCACCTTCTAATGGGGACATAAGATGTACATATGTAAATAAATATAAATATAAAGTTAACATACAAACATAAACAAGATTGTGAAGTACAAGGTAGTTTGTGAGGGTGGGCGTTAGCATTAGGGGCAATAAAGGAAGGCTTCATGCAAAAAATGATGCTTATACTGTGTCTTAAAAGAAAGAGCAGTACTGTGAGGTGGAGGTGAGAAGGGAGTGTATTCCAGGCATTGGGCATGGCTAGTGCAAAAGCAAAGACAGATGGAGTGTCATGGGTAGAGTCGGAAAAAGCCATTTTGACTGGATTGAGTAATGTGATAGGGAGGAGTAATGTCTATTGAGACTGGAAAAATAGATTGAGACCAAGTTGTGAGGGGTCCTAAAAGCTAGACAGAGGAATTTAAATTTGATTCTAGAAGGCAGTAGGAAGCCAGTGGTGTTGGTTGAGTAGGGGAGTGACAGTCAAATCTGTGCTTAAGGAGAATTCTAGGATGGTCTGAGTGGACAGAGACTTGAGGTTGGGAGACCAATTAAAAGACTGTTGCAATAAACTAGGCAAGAGGTGATGAGAGGACTTGAACTAAGGGGGTAGCTATATGATCAGAGAGGACAGGTAAGATGATAGATATATCCTGGGGAGGTAGAGAAACAGCAAGATTTTGCAGCTGAATGGATGCATGGGTTGAAGGGAGAGTCAAGAGTCCAGAAAAATGCTTGGTTACTGTTTGTTACTGGGTGCTCTGACTTGGTAAAGCCTTATGTCTTGGGGGTGGAAAGAGACAATACTCTTACTAGAAAAGTATAAAGATTGAGGAAGTGCTTTAAAGAAAGTATCAAGCTATGTGCCTCAGTATTTATTGTTCAGATTTGTGACATAGGAATATAAATGCACTGTGCTGGAAATGACTCCATCCATATCAAGCAGCTTCTCTTTGGTATGTATTTTGTCATTTATGCTTTCCTTTTAAGTGATCTATTCCAAGGTAGAAAATTTCAGTCTTACAAATAGGTACTTTGAGCTTGCAAGTTCATTGTAGAATGATTCTACTTTACAAAAGGGTTCATTGGATTTTTAAAGTTTCTGTACTGTACTTTAAAATTTTTAATTTATATTCAGCTTTTTGTTATTATTTAATATGAGATATTATTCATATTTTCCCACTAAAATCGTATGATAGATGGCATGGTATTTAGTGCTTTTAAAAGGTTTTTTTTTTTAAATGCCTTTTATCACTTCATCTCTTCACACAATAATGTTCATTTTTTCCTGAATGTATCTAAAATCATTAGGACAGCATTTAGAAACATGATTCTTTGGGGGTTTTGCTATGACATGTTATCAAGACTTATATCCCAAAATGCCTAAAGTAGGCAGGAAAAAATAAGGCATTGTTTTTATGCTTTATAAAAAAAGATGTAGCCTTTTACTAGTGTCTGTCTCTAGTCTGTCTCTAGTCACCCTTTTTATTTTTGAAATTTAATTATCGAAGTTAGAATCCAGTTTAGGACATGAGGACACTTCATTTTCATTCACAAGCCATTATTGGCTTACTCTTTAGCAAATTTTAATTATTTTGCTTTGTAAAAATGTTTGCCTAATGTAAACATATTTATTTTTTAATGTTTAGGATAAAGATGGAGATAGAGCTGTTCACCATGCAGCTTTCGGAGATGAAGGTGCTGTCATAGAAGTGCTACACAGAGGTAGTGCTGATTTGAATGCTCGAAATAAACGAAGACAGACTCCACTTCATATTGCTGTGAATAAAGGTCACCTTCAAGTTGTGAAGACGTTACTGGACTTTGGCTGTCATCCAAGTCTTCAAGTAAGATGGGTTTTAAAACATTTCCTTAGATATGTTAAGATATTCATAAAGTGATTATCTTATATTCTAGTAGTAAATAATGTATTCAGTTCTTATAAGATTTATCTCTATAAAGCTTTAAAACGTGTGAAATGGAAAATATTAAGGAATACATAATAAAATTGCAAATAGTTTGTCTTAGAATATAGTATTTCTCTGTCTTAGAATATAATGTTTCTCTTAGGATATATTAGCAGAAGGTATAGAGTAGGCTTGCTGAGATTTTTTGAAAAGTACTTAAAACCTTGTGTCTTCTATCAGCCCTACTTCTTATTTCGATTAATAATGTGAATTATGAAAATGAATTCAGGATCTCTTAGTACTTGGATCTTTCTTCATGGTGGAGTACATATATGCCTCTGTCATTGCCTTCCCATAGTACCCAGAGTATAAAGGTTTTTGGTCCAGCAACATATAATTATTCTCTATCATTTCTGGCTGTTACTAACTCTGGTTTTGAGATGCCTTAGTCCTTGGGCTACTATGACAATGCATAGGAACTTCCTGGGGATTAAAGTTCATTCTCTTGTGTTCAGGAAAAGGAAAAAGATAAAAACCGTTTATTAGCTGTCTTTTTATAGCTCTTTTATTAAAGGATGGCCCCCAACCTAGCAGGTTGGGCGATGGATTCTTTCTGAATCGCTGAGACCCATTGAGGACCAGTGAACGTGTCTGTATCTATCCTCCAATTGGTGATGCATTAAAAATCCCAAATAAAACTCACTCCCTGTAAGCAGATCAAATTGAGCAGTGAACTTTCCTAATCAGACTATTTGTATTTAGTTTTTTCTTATAAAATCTCTTCAGCTGTTGGTTGTTCTTTTTATAGCATCACACCCTCTGCTCATTGTTTACATAGTAGGAATTTATCCGTCTAAAGAGAAAGGACTAGTAAGAATTAATTTTTTTCCTTCTGATTCTTTTCTCATTTTCAGTGAATCTTTTTGTATTTTCATTGCCTTTTTCAGATTCAGACCTTAACTAAAATTCATATTCTTATAAAATGCATAAGCTTCCTTCCTTTGACTTTTATTTCTAGCTATATAAGTAAAATTGCCAAATTGGCAGTTCTAGTTTGGTTCTTGTTTTCTATTTCTTTGGTAAGCACATGGAAAAGAAAATCAGTTTTTTGGACTGTCTTATGTCATAGGGATTTACCCTATGTTGTTTTGTTGTTATTTTTGCTGTTTTTTAAAGAGAAGGGGAAAGAAATAAGCATTTTTAGAGAGACTACTTTGTGCCAGGCAACAGTGTTGCGTGTTTTACAAATACCTTTTTCGTCTTCACAAATACCATGTGAGGTAGGTGCTGTTATTATCCCCATTTTACAGTTGAGGAAACTGGGGCAAACAAAGGTTAAGTGACTTGCCAAGGGCCAATCAGCCTGTAAGTAAACCCAGGTTTGAAGTCAGGTCTTCCTGACTCCTAGCAATATATATGCACTGCACTGCCTACCTGTGTGCTTTAGAGGGTTCATCTTAATTTGTCAAACTTAAGAGATCATTTAATGGAGGAGTTCAGTTTCCCCATCCCGAAATGTCAAAATACCAACTGAACATATAATATTATAACTCTAAACACTTGGAATAATAATAATAGCTAATTTATATTGAGCTTTAGGATTTATAAAACTCTTTACAAATATTATTTCATTTGTTCCTTACAATAGCTCTGTAAGGTAGTTGCTGTTGTTATCCCTATTTTACAAATGAAACCCAGAGAGGGTAAATGACTAGCCCAGGACCATACAGCTAGTAAGTAGATGAAGCAGAATTTGAACTTAGGTCTTGCAGACTCCAAGTCCAACACTCTAATTAGCTATTCAAAGTATTTTCCTTTTCCTAGTAACCTTGAATTTCTCTGGGAGTAAGGCAGGACAGGGATAGAAGAAAGGAAGAATGTGAGTCACTAGAATGAGTAGGGCTTGAATAAACAATATTATTTAAGGGATCTTGCCTGGGTACATGGTCTGGTTCTATCACCAGTGTTAGCTGATGACATCAGTCTGAGACCCTGCTTGTTAGCCCTCTTGAACCACCAGACTACATTGTAGGAATACCAAAGTAGTAATCATAGTGAGTGAGAAAAACTATTTTTGTGTTCCTAAGTTTATAATGATTAGGCATAGAAGTTTTCTGCTGGGTATTGCTATGGCATGGCCCTCAGGAACTCACTGTTCATTTCTCTGGGGAATAACAGAGCCTCAACCCCAAAAACCCTGTTCCATAGTGCCTGGGGGCCACCTGTTACTTCCCATGTCTCTGATATAAGAGAGCAAGATAGATTGCAAGAGAAAGGGAGAGCTTGGTGAGGAATATGTGCTGTGACATGCTGTGACATCATTGGTGAAGGTGTTTTCTTCCACTGATAAAACTTTTAACCATTCTTATTCTATAGGTTCTTGTTTTTCCATAAATAACAGCAGACATTTATATAACTTTTTAAGGTTTACAAAATAGTTTATATATACCATCTTCACAACAGCTATATGAGGTGGGCATTAAGGGTGCTATTATTACCATCTTACAAACGAAGAATGCAACATTGGTCGACTTCCCTTTCTAGTTTTGTGTGTGTGTGTGTGAGATTATGTAAATAATCACCTATTGACTTTTCTACCTGGTAAAAGAATGTATCTTAAGCTTGATGAATTAAGATGAACCTCCTTCAAGAAAAACTGGAATATAGGCATATATACATATATGCATATGGATTGACCCTATGATTTCATTGGTATAGGGAACCCCGTGGTGAGGAAATTCCTTTACCAATGTAGGTCAGCACCTTCTCTGCCACTTATAGTCTTTGAAAGTTGTTTGGAGGCACATGCACCTCCATTAACTCTAGTAAACTCTTATCCTTTGTGTTTGGCATGTACTTTGTCACAGACAGCTGGCTCAGAACTTTCCCAGTAGGCTTTATTCAATATTTCATCCTGTTTAAATGGGAGGGAAGAAGAAGCCGATTCAAGGATCAGATAGGGTAGGCCTCTCAAATCCCTGTCCTGGAGATTGAGTAGGAGTTGTAGTTGACTGGCTGGTGGATTGGGAAAGACCATAGAGAATCTGGAAATAACTTCTTCTACATCTCTGATCAGGGTCATTAGAAAAGACAGTTTGTTCATGAATTCTGAAAGAATAAAGTGGTGGAGTCTGTGGCCTTGCAGTTTCTCTGAGTTCTGCCCACATGCACTTATCCTCATACACACAAATATATTTAACTTTACTCATATAATCAAAGCCAAAACGTGCCATACACACATATATACAGAAGAACACACATGTACACACGCTCCATATCCTGAGCTTTCTCTTGCTTCCGCTTTGAGCAGCTAGGGCTGAAGAAATATCTAAAGACTTTCCTTATTAATAAAAATAAGAATAAATAACACATATACCCAACCTTCCCTGCCCACTACCCATTATTCCAGGGTTACTGAGCCCTTCTTGTCTCTCTAAGCAAACTCTTACTCAGCCCAGGGGCAGTGACCTCTCTTCCAGTGAATAATAGAGTGTGTACACATTCCCCAGCATGGATGCAGTCTTTCCTAAGACCAGTGGTTGGTACCAAAGAATTTAACCACTCTCCAAGATTGGTTCATACCTTCATCATAAGCTTCATCCTCCAACCTGCTGAGAAAATGGAAAGAAAAGGGGAAGGACTCAGTGGTTCCTGACCTCCAGGAAGAAGGAGAAAAAATGGAAGAGACTTTATTTCCTTGACGAAGATTTTCTTTTCTGCCAGGACTCAGGAATGGGAGTAAAATCATTGTTGTCCTCTAAACACAGTTGTGAGACCTTGGGGAGAGACTGGTGGCCACTGGTATTGAGGGCAGTCAAGTCTCAGTTGGTCACAGTTGAACACGAGTACCAAAACTTCTTTCCCCTACTACTAAACCAGCAAAAAGGGGTGCCTGCAGGAAAAGGCTAGAGGGGGATTGAAGTTGAATGAACCTTCTGAAACAAAGGTGCTGCAGTGGTCCTGGCTGCTGCTAGGTTAAAGCCCTGAATTTAGGGTTCGTTGTGGTATAGAGCCGGGCCGTACCTTCTGGGCTTTGGCGACCTCTTTCCTAAGGCCTGATTTAGGTCACTGCAAGTCTCTGGCTGCTGTTTTGGGCCTACAAGACCCTAGCAGAGACATGAATAATAGATACCTCTAAATGTAAAAAAGAAGAAAGTTACTTAGAGTATTAACAAGGTTAAGTGACTTTTCCAGGGTCACAGTCATTGTATGTCAGAGGTGGTACTTGATCCCACATCATCTTGACTCCAAGGCAAACCCTATAGTCATATTCTCAGTGATTGTCTTTTACGCCACATCTTTTACTTGGTCATTCTTGGCAACAACATGCTATAGTCTGCCTAAGTTTACCATTGCCTTTCCTTCGACCTTTGGGTTATTTGTAATTTAAATACAAATTTCAGCTATTACAGTGTTCCTTGCTTCAGAGCTATATTAACCTCAGGGAGAGAAAATTGATGTTATATGGGACCTTTTGCGTCAGTGAGCAGTCTAGGATGATTAAAAATACTGAATATTGTCTAGGTTTTATTTGTCTCCATTTCTGCTAATTTAAGTGTTTAAATTCTGGGCCCTACTCATTGTCCATCTGCAGCTCCTGCCCAGATAACACCATTTTCCCAGTCATCTAGCTTAGCTCAGTACTTATAAATATTGTTCATCTTTTTTCTTTCTGTACCCTCAATCATTTTCCAAGTCTTTTAGATTTTTCTTCCACATTATCTTGCACCTGTCCTTTCCCTTCCATCTTCCTCCTTGTTTTACACTTTTATTGCCTCTCACTTCAACTACCTTCATAGCCTGTAACATGATCTTTCTACAGACAGCCTCTTACCCCCTGTGGTGTATTTTTTTCATGCTCCTGGAAAAATAGTTTTTCTAATACTCTGATATGATCATTCTCAATTATTACCTTCATCCAGATGACTCTCAGCCCCATATGTCCAAGCCTTAATCTTTTTTATTGGGTTTCGATGCTTTATCACCAACTCACTACATGCTGGGCATTTCTACCTAGATATCCTGTCAGCAGCTTACATTAACCGTGTTCAAAACAGAACTAGTTATCTTTCCCCTTAAAGCTACCCATTCTTCAAATTTCCGCATTTATTTTAATCCATCCCAGTTACCCATGTTTGTAACTTTTGGAGTCAAACTTGACTCTTGTCTCTCCCATGATTTCAGTATCCAGTCAGTTGTCAAATCTTGTCAATTCTGTCTCCACAATTTGTCTTATATATGTCTCCTTCTCCTATTCTAATATCACCTTTTGCCTGGGTCATAGGAATAACTTGCTTTGCCCTTCCATTCTACTGTCTCCTTTCCTGAGGCTTAGACCTTTTCCATGAAGCTTTCCCATATCCCCTCATTGTTAATGTTATCTATCTTCTGCCTTAAAATATTTTGAATTATTTTTGTACATACTGCATCTCTTCCAGTAGCTGCTTAAGGGTAGGAACTGTTTGTGTATGTCTTTGTGTCTCTGTTGTCTAACAATGTTCTATACTAGTAGGTGCTTCAATTTCATTTGAATTGAATTGAAAAACTTTTTGTTCTGCCTTCTAGCTAAACTCACTACTATAACTTTCTACTTGAGCTTCCCCAACAGTAAAACTAGAGAATTAGACTTGATAACCTTTAACATCTCTTCCAGCTCTAAAATCCCATGATCTGTACATTTGTGCAAGACATTTTCCACACCTCCTTCCCCTGCCCTCAGTCTCTTGCCTTTAAAATTCTTCTGTCACTTCAAGACCCAGCTCAGGTACCAGTGCCAAGCCTTTCTTGTGCCCTCTAGCTAGAAGCAGTAGTTCCTTACTTCTCTCTGATGCCATGCTTTTTTCTTTTTGTAAATTAAAATTTATTTTAAGCTTAAATACGAAGTGAGAAAAGGAAAAAAAAACAACATTGCCACGTACACAGCAGAACATGAGAGGATTCTCATGCCATACTTTTTGACTTCTTTTGTACTTCTATTCTGATTTATAGAATGTTATTTGTCTCTGTATTAGATTGTTGGCTTCTTATGTTGCTTTTCATCTTTGCATACTTAGAGTCTCAAACTGTGTTGACATGTAATAGGAGCTTAATAAATATTCATTGAATTGAATATGGGTAAATGCACCATTAGGATAGAGATACCATAGTTTGCATAACAAGGTCCACATAATAGGAGAGTATACTGTACAGTCGAAAGAGCATTTGTTTTGTAGTCAGAGTACTGGGGCACCAAATTCATCCTGATGCTTACTATACATATAAGGGTAGTGACCCTAGGCGAGTCAATAGTGCCCTACCTTCCCTCTTCCCACCCCTCCCATCACCTCAGTGTCCTCACCTCTAAAATATGGGGGTTAAATTAGATGGCTTATGAAGTCCCTTCCAGCTCTGGATCTGTGATACTGTCCTTAGTTAGCCTTTGGAAGAGGGGTAACAACAGACTATCAAAGGTGAATTAATGAAGGAGATTTAGGTCAGTGCTAGTAGGGCCAAGAGCAGGTACTCATTTGATAAGAGATTTTAAAGGTAGTACATACAGATAGGGGAAAATACTGTTGTTGGTTGGTCCATTTTCTTATTGCTAATTTTTTTCAGGAAGACTTTCCATTTCATATTTTGCTATTGATTAAGTTGTATCACTCGAGCTTGTTTCATTTCTTCTTGATTCTTTTTTCATTGTTTTGCCTTTCTGCAGTATAATACTTCTACTAATTATGACTGCCTGTTATTAATGAAGTATGATTTTTTGTGAGGTGAAGTATAATTTTTTGTAAGGTAAAGTATCTATCTGGAACTTAAAAAAAATTTCTACACTGTATATTAAAACTATCACATTAATGACAGATGGAATATGATCTTTTCATGTTTTTTATTAGTTTTGTCTCATAGTCATAATATTTTGAAGTCATTAAGTACAGGATTGTAAGTTGATCAGTAACCCTTTAAAAAATTTATCTATTAAGGATTCTGAAGGTGATACACCCCTCCATGATGCAATAAGTAAAAAACGTGATGATATCCTTGCAGTCCTTCTAGAAGCTGGGGCAGATGTTACAATCACAAACAACAATGGATTTAATGCTCTACACCATGCTGCACTACGAGGAAACCCCAGGTAAAGATGTGATGTTTAACCTCTTTTTGGTTATGTTATATATTTTTTACACACACACACACACACACACACACACACACACAGAGTATATGTACTTGAATTTTTTGATTTATTAGGGTATGGCTACTGTTAAAATAACTATAGATTACTTAAAGTGTCTACCTCAAATCTTGGTAGTGGTGATTATGAGACTTGACTAGATTATTTGTTAAATAATCATTCAGACATTTATTATAATTATACTTATTTAATAACTTTGTTTCTTTTGTGTAACCTTTTTCTTTTGGTTGTTATCCTAACAAAGCTATTGTGAAGTAAATTAAGAACATAAAAACCTGTCTGTAAAAATATATAGTGCCTTTATTTAGAATAAGTTTATTTGAAGCAAATCATATTTTGAATTTTGTGTTTTTGTGAGATCAGTTTGCTTAACTCTGATGATAGCTATCATATGTTGAGAAAACTGCCTAGTTCTTGTAAATGGTAGTTAAATACTTATTGCCCTGTTATCCTAACCTTTGTTTAAAGGTTACAGAGAATGTGTTCTAATTACATTAGATAAATGTATAACAAAACGAATGGTTACAAGAGAGGGGAAATTGATGTATATTACTAGTTGACATCTCTTGCGAAGACAGCTATTAGGCAAATGTTTGCAAGTGAAACTGTTTTAGTGTGCATTTTGTTTTTTTCATGGTACCAAATGAACAGATACTAAACAAACCACAAACCTCTTCTTTTTAAAAATTTCCCCATTTCCACAAGTGTCACTGCCACTTTCTCATTTTCCCAGATCTTTGGAGTCATCCTTATTTAGTCAGTTGCCAAGTCCTTCTGACTCTGCACTATCTCCTACATTTGTCTCCGCTCCACTCCTAAAGCTACTATTGTATTTTGGTTCCTAGTCAGGTCTGTCATGGAGTATTTTAATAGTATCCTAATTGATCTTCCTGTTTCCAGTCTCTTCCCTTTCTGATCTACATACCACATAGATGCCAAAATCTCCTGATAAACATATTTTACTTTGTCACTAGCCTGCCCAGAAACCTTCTTTAGCTTCCTGTTGACTCATGGATAAAATACAAAATCAGTGATAAGTGTATATAACGTGGAGGTTGGAGTAGCTTTATCATCATCATCATAAAAAGTGGTCTATAGTTTGCAAAGTGATTGACAAATATTATTTCATTTTACCCTCACAACAACCCTGAGAGATAAGTGCTTATTATTATCATCCCCATTTTACAAATGAGGAAAAAGAGGCAGACAGAGGTTAAATTACTTGCCTAGGATCACATAGCTAGTTAGGTGCCTTCAGATCTAGCCCTTGATCCACTGTACCACCAAGTTGCATCCTTTTTGGTTAAAGTGTCTGTGTCTGAAGAGTTATTTTAAAAATTAATGGAAGAAACCACTCTTAAGAAGGACCTTTTTTCTCCCAAGATCCCTAGATAAGATTCCCTTTGTTGTCATTCCCCCAACTCTCCATTGGAATGCAGGCTCCTTGAAGGAAGAGACTGTTTTGCTTTTGTTTCTCTTATCTCCAACAGCATCTAAAATACTTTCTTGATAAATAGTTATTGAATTGAATTAAATGCCAAGCTGAGAAATTTGAACTTTACTTAGGAGACTCCAGCATAAATTATCAAAAGCTCTAATTTTTGGAATTGAAAACAAGTTTTATTTCATTGAATAAATGCAATAGTAAAATATAAGAAGGACATTGGGAAATGCTGTCTTAGGTTTCAGAGAGATTCCTCAGATGTAAAATGCTTATTAGTGATTTTTGAGTATATATGTTACTACACGCCTAGACCTGCTTCTCACCTCTGACATGGCAGCCACCCTGGTCATTTCCTCAGTGTTTAAATTATTGCAACAGCCTACTGGTTGTTTTTCCTGCCTCATTTCTCTCCCTGCTCCAATGCATCTTTTACTCAGCTGTCAAATTGATCTCCCTAAAATGGAATTCTGACCATATCACTCCCTTATTCAGTAAACTCCAGAGGCCTCTTACTACTTCCAGTATCAAATATGAAATCCTGTGTTAGACTTTCAGAGCTTTTCATAATCTGGCCCCCTTCCTATGTTTCTAGTCTTCTTTCACTTATTCCCCTTCATGTATTCTGGTGTCCAAGGAATACTGTCTTCCTGGCTGTCCTTGCACGCACAAGGATCTCCTGACTTTGATAATTTTCACTATAGATGTCTCTTTTTGCCTGGGATGCTCTCTGTCCTCATTTCTGCCTCCCTTGCTTCTTTAAAGGCTCAACCAAAGTCCTACCTTTGGCTAAAAAGCCTTTCCCAGCATTCCTAAATCTTAGTGCCTTCCTGAGGTTACCCCCAATTTATGCTGTACATATTGTGTTTATATATAGTTTTTTGCATGTTATCTCTTTCTTTAGACTGTGAGTGAACTTTGTGAGAGAAGAGACTATTTTCCCCCCTTCCTTTGTTTCTCCAGTGCTTAGTACAGTGCCTGGTGTATAGTAAGTGCTTAATAAATATAAGGAGTGATAATGCAGAGAAAAGACCACTCTAATTCTAATCCTATACAAAGGAAGAAATATTGACTTCTTCCATAGCTTTTGCCTCTGCCTAACTCTTTAGGATTTACTTCTAAGGATTTTCAGGCATACAGCACTCTTAGCCCAGCAACTACTGATGATAGATCATAGGATTGTAGAGGTCATCTAGTCCAATGCTGTCACTTTATAGATGAGGAATCTGAAGCCCAGAGACATAAAGTAATTTGTCCAGTTGTATAGGTGATAAATCCAATATACAAACAAACCTACGTCTTCTGTACTCTGCTATTTTAATGACAACAAAAAAATACCTCTACTATCTGGACTTGGCAGTGTTTCATTTGAAGAGACAGTATATATCCCTATCTGCTTCATACATTTCCTGTAGTTGCTGGGAAAGAATCATGGATTGATTTGCTCATAGAGAAACAGTCTTGAAAATCTGTCTGCTCTAATTCTAAGCTTGCTTCTTAACTTGATGCATCTTTAATAAAATCTAAGTTTCATGTCTTAAAACTTGTCATTTCTTTTCCTTACTGAACCATGAAGATAATGAGTATTGAATAAAGCCAGAGTAGGAAGAATTTGATTGATTTTTCATTTTAGGAAAATTGTATTTTGGGCATAGGAAATGCCAGAAAATATCTGCTTGCTTCACTTTATGTCAGTTGGTTTTATTCCCATTCTTCTCTGAATTTTCCATTACTTCATGTACCAATTTTTTTAGCCATTCCCTAATCAATATGTTGATCTTAATTTTGTGATTATTAGAATTTGTGCTATTTTATGTTTTACACTTGAAGCAAAATGTTTTTTTTCCACACTAAACTACTAGGTATTCACAAAGATCCCTGATTGAAATTAACGTAACTTTTAGGAAGATACACATTTTAAAATTCTCATTGTAATACTAAAAAAATTTTTGAAAGTTTCCAAAATTTAAGAGTCAAACGAATTTTAACTAGGATATCAGCCCATACCCTTTCTTGTGTTCTTTTTTTCCTTGACCTGTCAGAATATGATTACTTCCTACCTGAAATGTGATGGAATATATATTTAGCTGTTCCTCTTGAAAATGAGAAATTCATAATCTGCCAACATTTTCCTGAAGATATGGATGTCTTATCTTTTTAAAAAAAATATTTCTAGATTAGCAGCTGTCAGTCTGCAATAGAAGCAAAATGCTTGGTGATAACATAAAACAGGGCAAACAACATGCAGCCCAAGGGACAAATCTACTACCTTTAAATACATTAAAACTGCATTTTAAAATTCAAAAACCATTCTCTGCTTTTTGCGCTGTATAGAGAAATAGGCTGTGGACCAAATTGGCCTTAGTTTGCCAACCCCTGCCATAGATTATATTCAGACAGGCCTTAGTAATAATAATAATAATAGCAATAAACATTATTTTAAAATGGCTGACATGTATATAATGTTTTAAGGTTTGCAAAATGTTTTACATATGTTACCAGATTCTCACAATATCCTCCTTTTACAAATGAAGAAACTGAGCCTGAAAGAAGTTAAATGGGTTTTCAGTGTCTGAGGTGGAATTTGGATTCAGGTTTTCATGATCTAAGTCTATTGCAAAATCTTTGTTATTTGTCTGGTAGTTAGCAAGTAAGCAGCTTACCACCTATTAGCAAGATAATTTTGTTTTTTGTTACAAATTCATTCCCTATATTACTTCGGGAAAGAAAAATAGGAATTTTGAATTGGATAGGCGCTGAGCAGTTTGCTTCATATGTTGGCATTTTAAAATATTCTGATGTAGGAATTACACATAGCTATTTAGAAACTTGGATAAAAATTGTATAGAAAATTACTTTTTTTTTTGAACCAGATCTTTGATTTCATTAGTGTAAGGAACTGATGATGAGGAAACTACCTCTACCAGTTTGGATTGGCACCTGCCTTGCCAAACTCTAGAGAATATCCTGGGTTGTTTAGAAATTGTGACTTGTCCAGGATCACATGTTGGCAGTATGTATCAGAATAACTCAGGGTCTCTGACTCTGAAGCCAACTCCTTATTTACTATGTCATGGCTGCCTCTTTTCCTTACTTTTTCTTTTCTTCTTTTTAACATTCTTTTTAAAAAAGTTTGAGTTCCAAATTCTTTCCCTCCCTCCAGCCCCTCCTTCACCTATTGAGAAGGCAAGCAATGTGCTATCAATTATACCTGTCTTTCATTATTTTAATCTGCTATTTATAAAGATTCTTTTTCTCTAGAGTCCCCTGCCTTTAAAAAAAATCATGTGTTTCAGTCCTAAAGGTAAATGATGTTACCAGTAGTTTCTTCATTTGTCAGATTGGAATCTAGCCAAGAATTCTTACTAGTCACCGAAAGACATGTGTTAAGACTTAGCTGAATTGCCAACCAAACTTATAGGCATTCTCTTTCCTGTCTCCACAAAGTTACTGTTTTTATTTAACTTTTTTTTATTGCTAGTAATGGATCTACTAAAGAGTGAATATAATTATTTTTATAATAATTTAGCTGTAAGAACTTGAGTCTTAAACTTGAGTCTTCTTTATGTTAAAGGCTTTTTTTTCTCCTTAGGTAATCTGTCTCACTAGGGGCTTTAACTGATGTTTGGTACATTTATGATCTATAAGCAGCTTAGCTAGCATTAGAAAAATACCTGAGAAAGGAAATGAAGCTGATATACTTGCTATTGTTGTATGTGTAGATATGCCATTCAGATGTGAGCCCTTGAAGACATTATTGTGCTATGTGTTTACCTAACTCAAAGCACTCTGAGCTCTGTATCTTGTAAACAAAAGTATGGCATTCAGATAGGGCTGTTTTCATCAGCTATCAATTGAAGAGGCCTTGTAAACTGAGGGCAATGTCAGATTACTCACATGTCCTCCACATCTTCCCTTTTTTCCAGTGTTTTTCACTACAAAGTGATGGGAATAGATAAATGAAAAGGTTATGTGAGCATCTGGAGGCTGCCTACTTTTTACTAACCTTCATTAATCTTTGAAATACTTGCTTCCATTTATTAAGTAGTTATTACCCAGAGTTTTTATACAAGAGAGTGGCAAAGTTAGATGGACTAGAGAGTACTTAGAATTTATATCCTTTTCTTAAGAAATTCCTTCTTGCCTAGAGTGAAACTCAAGGTCTTTGTGTGAAAGAGAAAAACAGAAAATTTGTAAATGATTGAAAAGTTATGTTTATAGCCTTTCCCTTCTCATCACACATGGAACTTAAGTACCTTTGTACCAGGTGAAGGACTACACAGACTACTGAACAGGGTTGTGGGGTGGTATGGTGGTAAGCAGGGCTGTCAGGAATGAACAGAAAGATGTTTGGAGGAAACTTAATAGCCCTTTGTCCCTTTAGGCAAAGGGAAGCTGAGATAATGAAATTCAGTTGGATTGGAGTACTTGAATAAGGATTCACTAGTTTTCCACTTCTTTCTTCCCTCCCAGCTTTAAGTAGCTTGCTACTCTTTAGTCCTTTGGCTGTCTGGAGAAGGATATGTTACGTTGTGTCTCTGCTACTTTCAGTAATTGCTATTTCAAAGTAGAAATAATTGTTAGGGGAGAGTTCTGTAGGTAAAACAGTTTTCTGTATTTTTCTTTGTAAAATGTGTTTAATGAAATAGGTATGGGTTTGAAATAGTGATTGTTTTCAAAACTCTCTTTGGAAAAAGAAATTTATCGTTATTCCTAGAACCAGATCTGTACTTGAAATAGGGCTGAAGTACATTCTTATCAGTTTGGACAATAGTAGATTTTGTAAATTATTTGCATTTTATAGTTGATTAGAATATTTTGGAGGTCTTAAATAATCCAGCCTAACCTCATTTTATGGAGAAAGACACATTCACCCTCAGGAGTGAGCAGTTTTTCCAAGATCACTCAGGACTAAATGACTCCTACTCCTTCCTGTGTTTTTTCTAGTCTACTACAGTTCCTAACTAGGTATGCTGTATTCTAAGTTCCTCTTTCCCTTCCCTTTCCTCATACTCCAGTTTTAATCAAGGGGAATTTTAACTGGGGCGAACAATGTCAGAATGCTCAGATTAATGCTAAGTAGGCTATGAGAAATTTTGTTTAACCTTTTCTTTAGGCAACCATTTAAGATTATAAGTTGCGGAGAATGTGCCAACCTGAATTGACAAGAAGAGGAATGAGAAGAACTCATCGAGGAGTTCCATATAACAATGAAATCATAGGTCCAGTGCTAATCATCGTGTAATACAACCTTTTTTCTCCGTATAATTTGATATTAAATATATAATTTGTTTCAGACTCAACTATGTGTAATGTTGAATGGTGGTTTAGTGTGCCTATAGATTTTCAGGTTGCTCTGTAATGGAAAAGAAGTTTAGTTTTTCTATTACGAAGCATGCTTTCATTTCATTACCATTTACCATCTTAGGGGAAATAAATTTAATGTCAAGAAACATGAAATAAATAAGTAAAAGGCTATATTTGAGAAACTTAACAGTCAGCATTTATTTTCATAAAAAATTTTAATAAACATGTTTTACTACCATAAAAATCATTTTTTACAAGCAATATTATACCTTGAAATACAGTTTGATAAAATACAAAATTCAAATGTTACTGTAAACATCTGTACTGTATTAACCATCTTCTGAAAAACAAACAAATTGAAAATTAGTTGATGGATATATTTGTTAATTATATTCTTTATTGAAAGTTTTTGCTTTCTTGTAGTAATCAATGCATAGCTACAGCTGGTTGAAGGGGACCAAATCCATTGAATAGGTGATTTGGTTCCATTTTACCAGCTTTAGCAAAGCATTGTCATGCTTTAGAGCTGTTTGATTTGAAACAGTTTAGTTTTTTTGTGTTAGTAACCTTTGCAAACTTGGACCCCTCTGTAAGATTTAGAAATTAACAAGATCTGTGCTTTGTTTAGTTGAGTTGAAAGACTTCTGTTTTAAAGATGACTGCTGTTTGAATGAATCCTTTTGTTTAGGGGAAAAACAGAAATGGATGGACTGCTACACTGTTGCTATTACTGAGTCCATCTTTTGAACAACTTCATATAATTTACAAATACAGAAAGTTACTCATTTTTAAAGTATTAGAATAACACATCACTCTTGATTGAAATCTTCAGGCAGTAAACCAGATTGCTTAAGCAGTGAAAATTGATGTCTCTATATTAGAAGTGAGGATAAGTACTGTTCTTGATTTCAACAGATCACACCTTTTCTATCACCATTGCTTTTTTTAGTCTTAAACTGTTGAGGACCAATAGCAAGTTGCTGAAAGGGGGTGGAGAAGAATGAGAGTGGCCTTGAGGAAGTACCTCTGCCCTTTAGTTTATAAATAGATCATGTGTATATTAAAAGTATTGCTTGAGCCTATGTGGGTGAAAGGAACTACCATATATGTCAGTGTATTTTTCACCTGATATTACTTATGTAATGATGCTAACCTTACACAGACAGCTGGCTAGTCTTCTCTTAAAATAATCATTTGATTTCCTCAAAATTAGTTATATTTCATTTTGATACAGATACACTAATTTTGAATGCAAGTTACCTAGTCCCATCTCATAAGCAAAATGAAGTTTTGGTTAAGGTTAATTTTTTACCTTCATCAAAATTTCTGCTACTTCATTTTCTTGTGGAGGTGACCCTGGATTTTTTCAAGGCTGGGCCTGTGGAATGTATACATATCCTGGCAGATCTACCTTACTGGTGAGGCATTGCATACCGGTCTGGTTTTGGACTCTGTAATCTGATGACCAGCCTAAATAATTTTGGAGAGACTTATTGCTAGGTTGACCCCTGGCCTAGAGGGATTGTGATTAGTTTTGGTGGAAAGAGTACCCTGACCAAAGAAATCTCAGTATGAAAGAAATAATGTCTTAGCAAATAAGAAGCTAGAATTTCACTATTTCATGTTAGCATAATGATGACAATTTAAAAATAGTAGAATAACTTCTTCTAACATGGTTTATGTTTGGATTTGTCTTGGCTAGGGCAGAATATTAAAGCTTGTCTTTAGAAGTATTACTATATGAAGTTAAAGGCCTGATAAAAAACAACAACAACAACAAAACAGCCTAAAAGGGGCATTATTAGTTAGAGGAGTCATGCAGAGCTTTAGCAGAATTCTTTATTGTTCCTCTTTTGTTTGACCAGAGGGAGTTAAGGAACCTTTTGGGGTGGGGGGGAGGCAGCAGAGGCATGGTAAGCATTAATGCAGACTGCTTTTGTCAAGTAGACTCTGCATCTGTTGGTAGCTAAGTATTATGTTGCTGAAGATATTTATGTAAATATATTCTTTATACCGTGTATTCTAATAAAAACAGAGCAGGTGTCAGGTTGCCTGGACTTAAGCACTGATGATAACTTTAAAATGGGCTTCTATTTTTATCTGTTATATGGGAACTACTTAGTAGATCCAGCTGCTCAAGTGTGCTTTTGGATGTTGCTTCAGTTTCATATACTGGCCATATCGGGGCAAAAAGAGGCCATGGAAAAAAAGAAACACATAGTACAGCATTTGATAATGTCAGCATCTGTTATCCCTGTCAGGGAGACAGTTGAAATGTTTGAGTTACAACAGTGTCAGCAGATGCCCAGAGTGTAATGTGTACTCAGTTAAAAATGAACAGCTGATCTAAGTGATAGATGTGACATTTTAGTATGACTGAATATACTCTTAGATGTGTTAACGAGCTAGTATGCAATAATATCAATATATAATCATACCTTTTGTAATGGACAAGCCTTCATTTTGTTTCAAAGTATTATATGATCTTAAAATGAGATTGATTATAAGAGATCAGTGGGTCATTGGTACATTTTCAGTAATTTTTAAAAATAAAAATTAAACTGTATAGAGTAATTGATCTGTAAGGTTATTTATTACGAAATTTAAGGGGATAATCATAACAAAGTAGTGATTTTTGAGAACATAGGAGAAACCACCATCCACTGTTGAAGTAGTAAGTCATGGAGTTGCTGTTTGGAACTTCTAAAGGTCAGTGTTTATCAGGTAACATAAAATTCTTTAAAAATTGTTATTAAGAGATGAACACTAGTCTGTGTTTGAGGGAATTAGTTCTTTAAAAAATCATTATTGAAAATATTTTTGAAATATGTTAGTTTTGATATTTCTTCTGTACATGTGATTATCCTCAATCACCCTTAAAAGATTTATAGTCTCTCAAATACCACAAGGTCGGTTTCATTTTCTGTGCAGATTATAGGTGTAATTTATGATTTCTCTATTGCTTGATTGACTAATCTTGTCTATCTAATCAATGACTAATTGACATTAATGAGTAGAAAGAAAATGAACTATGGCAACTTTTAGAAATTTCTGTCTTCTGACACACAAAAAGAACACTAATATTAAAAAGCCAGCATAACTCAAACAAAATCCCACACCTCAGGTAAGATCTTCCTAGCTATCCAAATTGAAATAGTTTCACTTGGGTTTGCTTGTTTAAGGGATGTCCTAGCATTAATTTTATGGCCGCCTTATTTTATTCATTTTGATAGGCATGTAGCATTTCTTTCTCCCATTGAAACCCCTCCTCATAGTGCTTATTCATAACAATTGATGATTTTAATGCTAATATCTTTTTAGATTTCTTATATTTGCAATTTTCTACAAATAGTGGGTCTTCCGCATTTATAATAAATAAATAAATAAATGAATAAATAAATTTATAATACCTTGCAAATAGGGAATAGCTGGGCATCCATATATTAGTTAACCCAGTTCAGCTTAAATATAATTGATTGGGATAAAACAAAGCTCAAAGATATATAGTAAAATGACCCCTCCCCAAAAAACCTTCATTCTTTTTTTTAATTCAAGATTCTATTGGTAGTAGTAATCTTATAATTAGCATAGTGTCCTAGAAATCGTTGGATTATCATTTTCTATGCTTATGTCGTTTCAGTTTATTCCATCTAAACACGCAATAAAAAATTTTAAAGTGTGGATTTGGTTAATGATCTAATAAACTTAAAAGGCAACAAGACCAAAGATACTTTTTCTTTTGGGGGGCAAAGATAGGGAAAACAGGGTCACTGTTAGTCACTAATCTTTTAGAATTGAAGCTATAGCTATGACTGTCACAACTACTAAAAAAAAAAAAGCCTTTTGATGAAAAATTTCCCCAAATATCTATAGGTCAGATTTCAACAGCTGTTTTTTGCTAACAATTTTGACTGAGTAAGCTTTTTTTTTTGGTATGCCAGAATTTGACAAATCAAAAAAAAAATCTTACTAATGTGACATACCTTGATTAAAATGTAATAGTTGAATCAAAATATTATTGGTAGATACCAGATTTGAAAGTAAGCTGTGTTTTCTTCTTTTTGTGCTAAGATGACACTCTCTTTTTTTGCTCTCAAGTTTTAGTCACCTTACTCACTCTGAATCTTTCTTGTTTTTAAAAAGGATTTAAAATGAGAAAGCATGCTTTAAAATGGAAGAAAATGAACCAAAATACTCATACTTTTCTTTACCTTTTTCTCAACAGAAATCTTTCTTCCTCCACATTAAATACATTCAGTGTCTTTGGAATGGAATATTTTATTTCACATTTTATTGTGGCAATACTAAAAAATGTCCTCTTTCTTGCCAGGTTAATTTGCCACATGAAGGTTATTCCAAAAGAAATTTTGCTTTCCCGGCGCAGTCTAGTTCCTTCCCCCTTGGTGGTTTATCACCTACCAAAAATACATACTTCTTTACATTCCATAGCATTGTATGTTCATATGGGTACATAAAGAAGTATGTACTCTGAGTAGGTCTAGGTGGTTGTCAGATAAACCTGAAATGTTTCATTTTCCTTATTCCTTTATCATTAGAGTAACATTGAACTTTCTCATTATTTACAAAAATGGTGCAATTACTTGCACAGATTACTTTCTCACAAGGACTGAACTTTAGTGTCATTTACCTGCACATTTGGCATTAAGGCTTACTATACTTTGTTGTTGATGCTGGACATAGTCACTTCCAAACATATCTGTTGCTCTTCATCCTGGTTTGACCAAATTTGTATGATTCATTGGCTTGATGAAGTTGTGCAGGATATATTTCTGTAATTGGAAAGGTTTCATCATGGTCTTCTCAGCAGAATTCTTTCATGACTTGTGCTTCTGAATTCTAAAAGCAGGTAGTCCAATGGAAAATAAATTTTTCATAAACTACATCTTAATAAAAATATCCCGTGTTATCCAATTAATACTTTTTTATGTAGATTTTATAATTTGTAAGTAATAAAATATGTCCAAAATGCCTTAAGGGCAAATTTTCAAGAGAATAACTAAGTTTAAATAGAAAAGAAATAGTTGTTATTGTAAGATTTAAGCTACCAGTAGGCCATAGGTCAAAAGTGGTAATGTTTATTTGAATGCTTCTTTAATGTTTTTATTGTCATTATTAGTCATTAAATTTATTTATTCGAAGTTTCATGCCATTTTCTAGGATGATTAAAAATTAATAATCAGATATAAAATATTTATCTAGTTGCTAGTCAATTAAAACTTTCATTTTTTAAAAAACCTCTTTGATGAACATACTAGAGCAATTGAACGGTAAACCAAGTGTGTGAGTATGTAAACTTAAAAGAACTGAAAAGTTTGGGGGTAGGTTCAGCCCAATTTTTTAACACATGCATTTGTCAGACATGGAAATAAGTTATAGTAAGAGAAGACTTAATTCTTATAGCAGTGAAGGCTTAATTGCAAATAAAGTATCACAGGAAATTTCGTAGTTTAAAAAAAAGCCAGGGAAAGTGGATTTCCTGCAGCCCATGACAAAAAGCTAGTGCAGCTGATAGAGAACAAATCAGAATGTAGCTGTAGATAGCCCAGTACTACAAAGAGAAACAGCAATGCAGTATTAGAATTATAGCATGCACATTCTGAGTTTAAATTAGATTGTCTTTATGGCTATTCAGTGATAAGCATTTTTAAAAATATCTCATGATTATATTTCTTAGTGTCCTGAATCTTGAAGTAATCATTTAGTAATTTTTGAGATAGCATCTCTGAAAATAGGTTATAATTTACTGGAGTGACAAAATGATCCACTACACAGACATTGCCAAAAATAAACCTTTAATTTTAGTAATTAATAAATGGCAGGAAAGGACCTTTACACTTATGATATAACATCTTTCAAATAAGTTGTCTGGCATGATATATTGGGCTACTTTTTCAAAGCCTCTATTTTACACTACTAAGGCTTTCTACTTGAACTCTAAAATTAAACTGTGTTCAGATAGATAGTAATTAATCACTGAAAGCAACCATCTAGTAAATCATAGGTAAGCATGCAGAAAGTCAAAGGAATCCTTATAAGTACAGAATAACATAGGCCTTGTGATGCTGTTACCTGTAAGCTTAGTATCATGCAGCATTTGCAGTTGGAAGAGAGGTAATGACCTAGAGAGACAGACCCATCAGCAGCAGCCATCTCATCCTGAGTGTTCGTTCACTCTATTCGCTGATTCAGCTCTTCATTACATGGGAGGGGGGAGGTAAGGGGGAAGTGTCGGTGAATACAGTACCTCACCTTCTTAAATAGATAAAACTTAACCTCTCCCGCCCCCCTCCTTCCCAAAAAAACTAGTGTCTACAGTAAAATTTAATCATCATTGGCTATCTTTCTTGGAATGTCAAATTACTAATACTGCGTAGAAATGAGTACCTTGTGCTTGCTGGACCGAAAGTTAAGGATGCTAGAATGTCCAAGGAAGATGAACCTAGCTCATTTCTCAGATGAAGAACTCCGGAAGAGGAAAAAAAGTTGCAGAGGAAATTACTTAATAATTTTTAAAAGGCAAAAAAGCATACCTTTCTCCCCGCCCCCCCAAGCAATACCAAATCCCCCCCCCCCTTCCATTATCCTACCCCCACCATAATGTATTGGATTCTTCTGGCTTCTTAAAAAGTACACTGCATCTTTTCTTGCTTGAGGTTTTGCTTTTGTTTTGTTTTTAGTTTCCAAGATTAAAGGGTAGGCAGATCTGTATTGAGGCTACCTTTTTATCTCCAGAGGTCAAGTCTGCAAGCGAGGTCAGGACTTCCACATGGACACTACAGAGGCTAACCATATTTCCCACTCAGAGGGGTTGAGCTAAACTGTTACAGCTTTATAGGCAGCTAAGCATTTAAAACATGCACTCCCAGGCAAACGGGCTCTCTTGTGCCTCTCTCTTCCCTGACCATATTTAGTCAACCATAGCAAAAAATAGTCTCTCAGCTGTCGATTGTCGATCCAGAAGCTAAGGAAGCCTCTATCTTGCTTTCTGCCTATTGATTGTTCATCCTGCAGTCCCAACACACTGCTTTGCCATTTGTCCTGCAATTTTTTTTTAGCACTGCCAAATAAAGCGGTCTCTCATGTTTCCACTTATATTTCCCAGATTTTCACTGAGCTTGCGCTGTTACTAGTAAAGCCTGTCACTATACTTAGAAGCACTGCAGAGCAGAAAGGCAAAGAGAAAAGAAACATCACCTTGACTAGAGTAGCAAGACAGACATTAGATATATGTGGAACAAGAAATATTGCTTTACTGTCACAACATGTTTTATATTCTGAATGTTTTTGGTGGTGACAAGTGTCAGAGTAATATAAAGCTGTAGGCCTGAGTAGTTGTAGTTAACTGTTCCTGCATATATTTTTCAATCAATAAATATGGTTTGATTCTATTATATTTGAATAGATGATAGGTAAGATAGTCAAATAATTTGTGTAATGGAGGAGGGAAGAACGAAGGTAAGGAAAAAAATTGCTGTGTTCATATAAAATCTTTGGAGGCTAATGAGATTAAACTTGATTAAAATATGGATAATTATAATTCACAAATAGCTTTTATTCAGTGTTTTTTTTGGGGGAGAAAAATCCAGGTAATGGTTTTTCATGGAACAGTCTACTAAGTATACATTTACATTGAAATGGAGTGTCAAAGTATATGCAAAATATATTTTAATGTGAATAAATGCACTGTTATATTTAAATATAAAATAGTTGTTTTCTTCAGAAAGAGTTTGAAGTATTTCATGACCCTTTTTAGTTTAAAAAACAAAACAAAACATTTATTAACATTAAAGCTTCTTCTACCGCAAAGACCAAATAACCCACAACTTTATGTTATGGCACAGAACTCTTGTTGGAAGCATATACGGAATTTTATTATCATGTCACACACACACACACACACACACACACACACACACACAGAGACACACACATATTTAACCAGGAGAAGGCAGAATGCTAATATTAAATTGAATAACCCTGTGGGGAAAAAAAATCATTTCAACATGATATAAAAAAAAAACCCAACCAAACTATAAACCTAGAAGACCAACTGCTATCTTTCCTTTATCAGTATTTTCTCAGAAATATCACTCAAGAGAAGAACCCAGGAAAAAAAATCATAGTCGCTTTTCTAGGTTCATTTTGGTATAGGACAAATTTGCCCTTGAGACTGTGCCTTTGCAGGTTTAGTGCAAGTTACAAGGGACCTTAGAGGTCATCTGGTTTAATCCCCTCATTTTACAGATGAACCCAGAGGTTAAATGATTTGCCCAAGGTCAAACAGCTATTTTGTAGCAGAACCAGGACTACAATTTGGTTTATATTGTTGGAGGCTTATTTGGAATAGTTTGAGGGGTCCCATAGTACCACATTACCTCCTTGTTGCTTCAGCTATCTGATTGTTTATTTGTTCAATCAGAAATTGAACAAACTACACGTGTAGTATAAATGAATAAAATTTTTCAGGGTTTAGGGGGTTCAGGATTTCCAGATTGTTGAAATACCATGTTTGTGGATCATTTATAAAATCTGTCCTTGCTAGCTATATGGTATCTCTACTGTAGTGCCTAGTGCAATGATCTGTAGATGATAGGCACTTAGTGAGTATTGTTGATAAATGAGAAGGTGGAGAGGGTAACCGTAACCATATAGAAATAAGTAGGTAACTGCTTCCCTTGTGCCTACACTAGTGGTGCTGGTGGAGGTGGCAGTCCCTGGCTGTCTAGCATGTTTCGTTTTTCTGGTGCGTTGTTCCCACCAGTGAGTGGAAATCTTGGTGGACAGTTACATCATCTGTCTTATTCCTGTACCTGTTTTGGAGAGGAGGCAGCATGGGCAGACTTCAGGAATTTTATATGTATGAAGTTATGAATACTTTTTTCTTTCATGGAGTTAAAAAGGATCAGATCTTCAGTATAGGATGTAAAAATGAGTGCTGGGGCAGGGGAAAAAAAAGCTAGAATAGTTGTAGGGAGTAGTAGTGACAGTTTTATGATCTACTGTCATTAGATTCTGGCAACAGGGGCTTGAGGTTACCATGATGGAAAGGTAAGTAGTAGGGTAAGATTATGCTGGTTCTGTGGTGAGCCAGCATGCTATTACTACTGTTCAGCAATTTCACATTGGGACAAAAATCACATACCTACCAAACAGTTAATATGGGGCTAGAGATTTTTAGCCTAGATAAAAGTTAGAGACAAATAACTTGCTCATTCATCTTGCTCTATTCAACCAAGAACTCATTTCACTTGTCTTCAGCAAGAGTGTGTCTTTGTTTAATGTAGAAAAGCATTTATTGAGTACCTGCTATGTAATTACCCTGATGTGGAGGATTCAAAGATAAATAAGACAGTTTTTAACAGCATGGGAAATAGAAAAGTTTATTTTGCAGAATGTTGAAATAAAAGAAGGGGAGGGAACCTTTGGCTTTGGTACTGTGAAGGGTAGTTTTTTATTTGGATGTGAAGAAATGCCTTATTTTGATAGGCAGAAATTTTGAAGAAGGACATTTCAGTTGTAAGAACACTTCTACTTAATAATTTACATTTACATAATGCCTTAACAGTTTATAGGATGCATTTGCATTATATATGTTCTCATTTGATTCTTGTGACTCATCTGAGGAGACAGGGCAAGTGGTAGTATCCTTACTTTTCACATGAGGAAACAGGTTCAGAGAACTTGGGTGATTTGTCCATACTGCTAGTGCCAGGACTAGGAACCTCTGGTCTCTTTTGGTGAGCTTCTTTACTTTCCTGGCTCTTTTGTAGGCTTTATTTGCTTTGAACCTCTCTTGTCTTTTGTTACTTGAATAATATGGCATTAATTTGGACTTGCCAATTTAGGAATTTGTGATATTTTAACTGACATTAGCTAGCATTTTTCTTTATAGACGGTGACAAGGTAGAATTCAAGAACTGGTAAGCAAATTAAGGCAGCTTAAACACTGGGGCATAGTTAACCTGCTAAAGCAAACAAATGTTTAAAATATTTTAAAAGCCCACTTTCCAAATGGATGCTTCTGATTATAAGTGAGTATTATCCATTAGTTAAAAACAAGTTAAAGTAGGCATTATACTTGGAATCATTTTCTTGGTGGTTAGTTGCTATACTTGGACAGGTATCTCCTTTTGGTGATTCTAAGGGTGCTACAAGGTCCAGCCTGCTCCATAATTTCTCTTTTTCCTTCATGGTCTACTTCTTTGACTGTCTATCATGGACTAGGTGTGAGACAATGCCTCCAATTTTTGTAATTTTACTGTCAAATATTATCTCCGGAAGACCTCTGTTAAAATTCAGTGTGTTTTCTAAGGGGAGGATGCATACATTGTAAAACTAAATTTAAGAGGGAGAATGCCCAAAACAAATTTAATCTACTTGATGAAATTTCCAAGTAATAAAAAGATGTTAAAAATTGTAGTTCACACATTTTGATGTTTATCTGAATTAGTAAGAGATTTACCATATCATGCCCTTTGAAGAAGAGTGTAAACTCCTAAGTGAAGTCATATATATTGGAAGGGATATTAGAGGTCTCTTAGTCTAGTGCCTCACCCTTCCCCTTTTACAGGTGTGGTTGTGTCCCAGAGAGATTGTTGCTTGCCCATGCAGATAGTACATAACAGAGCCAGGATTTAATAAACCCAGGTCTTTGGTCTCAAAACCCAATTCTTTTTCCACTATTAACCCTCTCCTTTGTGCAGAAATTGAAAACCGGAATGCTTTGAATATACTTTATTTTAGTTTACATGTTGTGTCCTTTTGGTAGAATATAAGCCCCTTAGTGGCAGACTTTGGGGTGGGGAATCTACCTGTACTTAAATCGTTATCACCTTGTAGAGTACCTTGTACATATTGGAGGTGTTTTTTTTTTTATCATTATCCAAATACTTCTTTTAAAATTTATTTTTAGTTCTGAATTCTTTCCCTTCTTCCAGCCCCTCCCCACCCATTGAGAAGGCAAGAAATATGATACACATTATATATGTGAAATCACACAAAGCATATTTCCACCTTAGCAATGTTTACCTAGGTATACATATGTACAGGAGAACAGGAGAAAGAATTGACATTGCTCTGCTCATTTCAACATAATCTTACATAATAATGAGACATTGATCTAATTCTTAGTGACTGTCATGATTAAAGCTTCTTTGAGGTATATATAATTAGCATGGGAGAAGAAACTAAATTTTGGGGAAAAATACCAGTGTATTTAATGGTGTCAAGTGTACCTATAGTAATGTAACTTTAGAGAGTGGTAGAACATTGTGTTACAGGAATAGCATTAGTCTTAAATTCAAAATGTTCCAAGTTTGGTTCCTCCTTCAGTGTAGATTAGCTATATGATCCATAGCGAGATAATTAACCCTCTATTTCCTCATCTGAGAAATAGGGAGGGAATGTTAATGCTTTTATAATCTACCTTAAAAAGTTGGTATGAGGAAAACCACTTCATAAATGATAAAATGGCCTATAAATTGCGATACTATTATTACTAGTACCACTAATAATAGTAGTAGTAGTAATAATAATGATAATAGTATAGACTATCCCTGTTTTCCCCTCAAAATTTTCTCAGCATATTTTTCTGACTATTCCAGTTTTGCTTTAAAAAAAAACACCCAGTTTTTGTTCTATGTATACATAATTATTCTGAGTCATAGCATTCAAGGAAAAAAAACAAATTTAATATCTTCATTGAATAGGTTGTACATTCCAAGTCAGCATTTAAAATATTCCCCCCCCCACCTGTCTTAATCTCACCTTTGCTACTGACTTCTTTCCTGCTGCCTACAAATATCCTCAGGTTTCCCTCATGCTAAAAAAAAACAAAACAAAACTGTTCCCTTGACCTTGATACCCTCATGCTATGATACTATATATTTAGTCCTTTTAAATGATAAATGTAAGAGTTGTCCTTTCTCCTACCTCTACTTTCTTTTCAAATTTAAGATTACTTTTTTCAATTATCAGGCATTTATTTTTCCCCCTTTCTACCTTGACTGTCCCCCTCCTCAACAAAATCTAAAGCCCTTCTAACAAATAAGCATGATCAAAAACAAATTCCGTATTAGCTATATCCAAACTGTATATTTATTTCTGCATATTAGTCCATCACCTCTTTGTCAGGAGGTAGGTAACATTCTTCATCTATTTTCTGTATTCATGCTTAATCATTAACATTGATTTTGTACATATGAGTCCTTATTCTCTGACTTTTCTTTGGTATGCATAGTGGTATTGCTGGGTCAAAGGGTTTGCACAGTCTAGTAATATTTGGGGGATGGTTTCATATTGCTTTCCAGAACGGCTGTACCAGTTCACTAACAGTGCATCAGTGTTCATGTTTTCCTGAAGCCCCTCATACATAATATAATTTTCCCTTTTTTTGTCAACTTTGCCAATTTGTTGGGTATAAATAGAACCTAAAAATTGTTTTAATTTGCATTTCTCTATTAGTGATTTTGGAGCATTTCTTCATATGGCTATAGGCAACTTAGATTTCTTTGCTTGAGAATTGCTTGCTCCTGTCTTTTGACCCTCTATTTTTTTGACAACATCTACTCCTCAACCCCTTTTAGTATGGCTTTCAGCCCTTCAAGCTGCAGATGTAATTCTCTCCAAAGTTTCCAATGACCTCCATGGCTAAAATCAATTACTTTACGATATTTTATTGATACTTTTTAAAAATAAGAACAATGCATATCCCAGTGACTTTCCTTTTCCCCCACTCCAAAAAAACAAAACAAGAACAATTACTTTTTCTCCGGTCTCATCCTTCTCAATACCATTTGCCACTTTGTATTGCATGATATTTTCTTCCTTGACTTCTGTGGTGCTATCCTCTCCTGCGTCTTTTTCTACTTATCTTGTCATTCCTTCTCTGTTTTTTTTGTTGGTTTCTTCTCCTTCGGACTCCAAAGTATGGATGTCTCTCAAGGTTTTGACTTTGTCCTTCTATTTAATTTCTTTGACTATCTGATTCACGTCCATGACTTTACTTGTAAATTACTTTGTAGGTAACTACAAAATCTGTACATCTTGTACCAGTGTATGTTTCAAGTTCAGGCCTGCGTCTCATTTCCATCTGCCTTCTTGGAATCTCTACTTGAAGTCTTGTAAGCACTACGATCTTGACTTTTCTAAAGCTAAACTCATTACTTTTGCCCCAAATTTGCCTTTCTCCCAGTGTATTTTGATGGAACTTTATCACTTGGGCTTAAAAACTGAGTAGCTTTGTACTTTCTCTAACTCATCTCAGTGCATCAATTTTTTCTCCCTTCCAGTCTTGGCCATGTGACTTCCATGCTCAAAAACTTTCAGTGTTTCCCTTTTGCCTATAAGATAAAATATAAACCCTTTCACTTGGAATTTAAATTCCTCGATAATCTGTCTTCTAGGGTTATAATGTAAAAAACATTAAATTTGGGGTCAGAGGACCTGAGCTTTAAGTCTGACCTCTAATACTTTTAAGACCTGTTTGCCTTTGGGTCATATGCTTCACCACTGTGAGCCTCTTTTCCCTCACCTGTTTATTCATTCCATCAGCATTTATCAAGTGCCAAATGCTGTGCTAAGCCATTTTACTTGAACCCTCTTTTCTTCATCTCAAAACCCCTGGTCATTACTACCCACTTGGCTTCTTTTTTCCAGTCTCTGACGAGAAGGTGGCCTTTCTCCTTGCCAAGACACCTCCATTTGTACATTAATTCCATCCTTTCCCGTCTTGTCCAGCAGATTGCATCCTCAGTCTCTGTCTTGGATCTTCAGCCTTTTCCTATCAGCTACCTTCAAATAGGCCAAACCTTTCTTATCTTTAAAATACCTTTGCTGGCATACCCTACTATCCCCTCAAAATATCATCCTAGATCTCCTTTTCTCTCTCTCAGACAAACTCATAGAAAAATTCATCTACACTCACTCATTAACCTTTGTAGTCTGGCTTTTGGCCTCATCATTCAATGGAAACTGCTCTCTCCAACAATCTGTTAATTGCCATATCTGATGGGCTCTTCTCAGTCCTGTCTTCTCAGTCCTCATCCTTCTCAGCCCTGTCTGTTGGCAGCGATACTGTTGACCACTCTCTTCATGGATATGCTCTGCTTTCTGCGTTCTTCTGACACTACTCTCTCTTATTTTGCCTCCAACCTATTTGACCATTCTTTATTAATCTCCTAGGTCCTTTTTTCTTCTCCCTCTAAACTTTCTCTTGACGTGTAGTACCTTTCTGTTGACTTTTCCCCATGCCTGGAAAGTACTCCCTTCTTACCTCTACCTCATAGTCTCTATCATCCTTTAAGACACAATTGAAACATCATTTTCCACATAAAACCTATTCTGTTCTCTCCCATTTTTAGTACTCTCCCACCCAAATTACTTTGTAAATATTTGTATTTATTAACTATATACATATATATATGTATGAGTGCATGTGTGTACACACATACACACGAGTCTCCCTCACTATATTGACAGCCTTGAGGAATGTCTAGTTAGAGAGTGTGGTATGGATGATGTTACAGCGAATGGCCAAGTAGGGGGCAAGCCAGGAGAGAGTAAGTAAGCTGGAGGCAGATTGTGTAAAGTGCTTTAAATGTGAAACAGGAGTGTGTCTTTTATCATAAAGGCAGTATCAAGCCACTGGAAATTATAAAGAAGGAATAGACATGGTCAGACTGTTGGTTTAGGAATTACCACTTTGGCAGCTGTGTAGAGAGAGAATGGTTCAGAGAGGGGAGAAATTTGAGTCAGAGTCTAATTAGGAGGTTGTTGCAGTAATCCAAATAAATCTTGAGGGGTTGAATGATAATGTAGCTATGTGAATGGAGAAAAGTAGATGCTTGTGAGAGATGTTGTAGAGGCTAAATCAGTTTTACTTGTCAGCTAATTGGTGGGAAAGTAAAGAGTTAAAGGTAACCCCTAGGCTAGGCGTGGGAATGTGGGGCCTCAAGGCCACAAGTGGCTGTCTAGGTCCTTGGTCTGTGGCCTTTTGACTTGAGTCTAAGTTTTACAGAACAGATCCTTTTATTAAGGGGATTTGTTCTGTGAAGTTTGAATTCAGTCAAAGGGCTGCACTTGAGGACCTAGAAATAAATAAATAGAAAATAATTACCAGAGGGAAGGCACCAGAATTAAGAGGGGTTGGAGAAGTCTTCCTATACAGGGATGATAATTTGTGGTAATTATCATCTACAAAGAGATGATAATTGAATCCAGGGAACTGAGGTCACCAATTGGAAGTATGGAGAATAGAGGTGGGCTCGGGACAAAAGTGGGAAATAATAAAAGTCTTAAGTGAATAGAACTAACTCAACTAATAAAACTTTGAAAAATAATACTGTTTGATTTTTGGGCACCTGATGAAAATCTAGAAATATTTTATCCTTTATACCTAAGTGCGAGAAATACAAAATAGAGAAATTTACTGCCTTGGGGAAATAGGCTAAAGATGTAGACCAAGAAAAGCCCCTCCTACCTCCAAAAAGAGTATGAAACTTTAAATAGATGTGACCAAAAGTGATTTACATATCTTTCTTTAAGGTATCCTTTAGTTTATTTTGGGTAGTTGATACTCTTTCCCATTATTTGGGATAAAATAGTATGTGAACTTGGGTTTGGTAATTTATGTATTAGAGTCTATTTTTAGTCTGAGGTCATATTAGATTAAGGATAGGGACTGAATTTGTGATTTCATTGGTATACAGAATTCCTGGAATGAAAACCTCTGTTTAATGATGTAGGTCAGCACATTCTTTGCAATTTATGGTTTTAGAGTTAGCTAAAGCACTGTGAGGTTGTGATTTACCTAAGATCACACAAGCATTATGTATCAAAGGTAGGGCTTGAACCCAAGTCTTCCTAGTTCTGAGGCTAGTCCTCTTCTCACCTTGCTACCTGTTATGAAGTATTATAAATTTAAGAGACATGATGTTTGAATTTACATTCTTGTTTGGCTTTCTCATTTTACCCTAGAATTATGCAGGATGAATAACATCATTCCCATTTGCAAATGAAAACCTGAAATTCAGCGAGATTAATTTGCTCAGTCAGGTAGTCCTTCTCACCTTGAAAGGGGAGGTGCTGTTACATTTCCTCATCTCTTCTCCTAGCTAGTATCGGTCATTATGATTACAGAGTTTTGGGCTTCAGTGTTCTTTAGTTTTCTAATGTTTCTCTGAATTCCTTATATTTACTCTTACAGCATAATTATATTATGTTACATTTATATGTTGCCTTTGTTTAATAATTCTCTCGTCAGTGGGTACTTGCTGGGTTTATAACGGGCTATTTTGATGATTTTCATATATATGATAGAGAATAGGCTTTTCCAGAGAAAAGCATTTAAAACAAGTCCTATCAAATTTGACTTTCAGTGCAATGCGTGTGTTACTATCCAAACTGCCAAGACCATGGATTGTGGATGAGAAGAAAGATGATGGTTACACTGCCTTGCATCTAGCTGCACTTAATAATCATGTAGAAGTGGCTGAACTCTTGGTGCATCAGGTAAAGTATACAACATAAGATTTACAGCTAGGTAGTGCAGTGGATAGAACACTGGGTCTAGAGTGAGCAAGACCAGAGTTCAGATTCACCTTTGAGCTTAGTCCAGTGAGATAAGTGCTCCAATATAGTCATAAACTTTCATCATGAAATTCTGTTAGCACTTTTCATTATGTAAATTGTAAGTAGGTCAGTCAATTAAGAATAATAATAGGTAGTATTTATGTAGCTCTTTAAGTTTTGCAGAGCACTTTACAAATATCATCTCATTTTATCCTCAAGCAACCCTGGTGGGTAGGTGCTTATGGTAGGCCTGGCTCTAGCACTGTTAATTCAGTTTTTGATGTTGGGATAAAATGAGGCACTCTGAGAGTCACTGAACATTTAACAGACAAGGTTGACTTTGAGCTAACTCCAAAAAGAATATGCAACAAAGATAGCTTCTCTGGACGAGATCTCCCTCGTGTCTCTTTGGAAACTCATCTGATCATTAAGTCATCAGAGTATTGTGACTCATGTGGTCTCAGGTACCTACCAAGTCTGAAGAGCCCAGACTATATGCAGCTTGACCAGAAAGCTGTGTGGTGGAGAGAAAGCTGGATCAGAGAAGCTGGGGCTGAAAGAATTTGTGTCAGAAAATTTTTGGTCCTATCAAAATGCCATTATTATCCTCATTTTACAGATGAGGAAATTGAGGTGGGTAGACGTTAAGTGACTTGTTTCAAGGTCACACAGCTTGTGTCTGAGGCTGTATTTGAACTCAGAACTCTCTGATAATAAAAATTTATTAGATAACTACTTTATATTTATCATTGTGTTTATAATAATAAGTAGAAGACAGCTTCTGCCCTCAGGAAGCTTACAGCATACTGGAAGGGAGTAAGACTAATGTGAAAAAATACAGTATCACATGAAGAGTAGATAAGAAGTGAATCTGTGCTAGGTTTTCTAGGATCATTCTAAGCTTCTGATATACTAGTATAACCTGAAATTCCAACTATTGGAGGTAGTCAATAAAATTTATTTGTAATGAAAACAACTAGAAAATTCAGATCACTTAGAACGTGTACATACTTCTTGAGGGCAGGTTTAGCACTATGCCTGGTACGTAATAGATCCCTGATGATTGATAACCAGTTTTTTTTTCTTCCCATGCTCTATTTTTGGTCATTTCTCATGAAAATTGATTATATTTTGAGGACAAATCATTATTCAAGCATCAATAAAAAGATGTATTTAAAAGAGGGAAAAAAAACCTCAACCAGAATGCTAGATTCCTTTTAATGAAGTAAAATTACCTTCTTGTGATATAATGAATCGCAGCATTTATTAAGCTCTTATCGTGTGCCGGGGGATACAAATAGAAAAAAGTGAGACAATCTCTCCCTTCAGAGAGGTAATATGGACATAAAAAAAAAGAAGTAAATGGAGACCAGGTATAAGGTTGTTCTAGAAGGAAACTTAATCTTTCTCCCAAACCTATCCCTCCTCCAAACAAACCTCCGTTTTCTCTACTCACTTTCTCTTTGACCTTCCCACCACCATCTAATCCAACCATTTACTAAAGTCTTTTGAAATATCTTCCTTATTTATTGGGCTACTACTTTAGGTAAGGCCTTCATAACCCCTAGACTGGATTATTACATTGCTTTCTTAAGTAGACTTGTCCATTTCACTCCTCTTTCATTTATCCTTCAAGCAGTTATCAAAATAATCCTCCTAAGTCACAAGTCTAAGCATCATTCTCTTGTTGGAGAACCTTGACTGGTTCTTTTTGCCTCTCTGGTAACATAACTGGATAGATTGTATATTTACTAAACATTTATTATATGCCAGGCACTGTACTAGGCACTGGTAGTACAAAAACCAAAATACAAGACAGTCCCTACTCTCAAGGAACTTAAATTTTGCTAGAAGAAGATAAAATTTAAAGGGGAGGTAGAAATTAAGGAGAGTTTGAGGAGCAACGGAAGAAGAAAGAGGGATATTTACGTAGGGGTAGGACAGTCGGCATGAGTGGGTGTGGAAAAGAGAAAGCAGGCCACGAAGGGGAGCTAGTGTAGAGGGATGAAGATAGCAGGCCAGAAGCGGAGCTTCCTGGTGTAGAAGGAGGGAACAGGCTGGAAGGGGACAGTGAGAGTAGAGCAACTGGATAAGGACTTATCTAACAGCCTTAGCCCGGAGTTGTCCCTGAGGTGCTATACAACCGGCCAGCTTTGTGAGGAAGTGGAACAGATATCTCAGCTTTGTATTTAAAGCCCTTCATAAATGACTCTAGCTTCCCTTAATAGATTAATTTCACATTACTCTCCTTGATGCTTTGAGTATTCTGTGTTTTGGCTAAACTTGCCTAATTGTTTCTTGAACTAAGCATTCTCCCTCTTGTCCTGAACCTTTGCTCAGGCTCTCCAGTGGTGAGGATGGATCGTAGATAAAGCAGTGGCCCTGGAGTGAGGAGGAACTGAGTTGGAATGCAGCCTCAGACCAAACACTTGACACTTAGTAACGGTGTGACCCTGGGCAAGTCACTGAACCCAAATTGAGAGAGAGAGAGAGAGAGAGAGAGAGAAGAGAGACAGAGAGACAGAGATAGATAGATAGATAGTTCTTAGCTTTAGTGGATACTGCTCATGTGCCAACTGGAAGCATTTCCTGATATAAGTTCTTTGAAATCAGGGACTCCTGTTTGCAACTCTAGTGCTTGTTACAATGTCTTGTATGCTTAGTAACTGGCACTTAATAAATGATTATGGCATTGAATTGTGAGCAGTCGATGATATATAGTATGAAGGATTTCCTCTAGGATGCTCTGTGTGCCCTTTTACCATTCTCCATTTCCGTCATCCCTCTCCCAGAATACCATGTCCATTTCAAGGAAGAGAAGAGTAACATTGCTTTATTTTGCCTGTTTTGGAAATAAGTATGCATATATGTGAGCTATATTCTTTCATAAGGATGTGCCTATGCAGAATGGAGAAGAGATAACTGGTGATGGTCTGTAAATAACATTTATTGAATATGTCTACTTCACACTAATAGGGGACTGAAATGATACCATTGAAGTCTTGTCTTTGTACCAAACCTGGGGTTTCCATTCCCTTATTTTTTCTGTGTGTATTTTAAGACATTTCCTTTTCATGATTACATCCATAAATTGTGTTGGTTATTATTGCTTCAGTTGCTTATACATTTTTAATACATTTTTATAAAGGTGTGAAATTTGAGAAATGACTTAGATACGGTTATAGTATTGCTCTTGACATTTTGCCAGAAATTTGTTCTTGTAAAATACATGTGCCCCCTTTTTTCAGGGAAATGCAAACCTGGATATCCAGAATGTGAACCAGCAAACAGCACTACACCTTGCTGTTGAACGACAACACACTCAAATAGTCAGGGTAAGATATTTCTTATATGCACATATTTGTATTTTAATTGGACAGGCATTTTGGACGTATTGAATGCTATTTTAAGCCTTAAAGTTGTTGACTTTGTGGGACAGTAGATTGAGAGTTGGGTATTTGGTGTCATTCTGAGAATTGATGTTAATTTTCAGCTAGGACGAATTGAATAGCAAATAGGGAATGACAGTGTATGTCTGTAGGAATCTATTGAGTGAAGTATTTATTATGTGGTGTCATTACTTTGCTAGCCAGTATTACAAGTTCTTGGAACATCAAATATGTCTGTATTCAATTATGAGATTAAAAATACATTCCCAATAGAAATATATTTCTGTTTTTCCCTTCATTTTTGGTTGCTTCAGCGGATCTGTGCTCTTATTGATGTAGCTACTTCTTCTACTCCAGCAGTTCATTTCACAACCTCTCCACCCGTTTATCCCTTCTCATCCTATGCATCTCCTGTCTAATCCCTCAGTGGGGTGCTAGGTGGGGTGCTAGGTGTGTATCCCGTATTCTGGGGGGACTTGTAGATCATTTGATGGCATGTGTGCCATTGAAGCATGGAGTCTCTCTTTAAGTTATGCTGCATGACTGGCTGCCTTTCTTTTCTGATAAATATGTTTTCTTTTATGCAGTTTTATATATTTGTAATATATTGCAGCCTACTTAAACCTCCTGTATATCTCTCCATTGATCTTTGGGTGGGACAAGCAACTTTAATTTTTTGAAGACTGAGACAATCAATATTTTATGGCCATATAGCATAATTTAGAATATATTGATGTTCAAAAGATAGGCCTTTGTTTTAGGTAACAGTTTGATGTCGCTAAAAGGAATGGACAATTTCCCAAATGAAGTGCCATTCCTTCTACTTTAATTCCATTAAATTCTAAAGAACATTTATTAAGTGTATATTATGTCCAAGACCCTACACTAGGCACTGAGAATACAAAGACAAATGAAATAGGCCCTGCTTCCAAGGAGCTTATGTTCTGCTGTGTAGGCATATATATGCAGATGAGTAGGTAGATGGTGGATTGAACCCTGGACTTGGAGCCAGGAAGATCCAAGTTCAAATCCTGCAACAGATATTTACTAGCTGTGTGAACCTGGGCAAGTCACTTACCACCATTTGCCTCATTTTCCTCCTATAAAATGAGAATAATAGTAACACCTACTAGGTAAAGTTATTGTGAAGATCAAATGAGATAATTGTTGCAAAGCACTTTGTAAGCCTTAAAGCACTGTATAAATGGTGTTGCTATCATCATCATCATCATCATCCAAATATTTTCTAAAATAATGCAGAGGCAACTGTATTCTAATGAAATGAGAGCTAGGCCAAGGAATCAGAAAGACTCAACCATATAGTGGTTCAGGGGCAAGTTCCTTAACATCTCAGTGCCTCAGGAAACTCTCTTAAGACTTCAAACTGAAGAGCATTTGCTGATTTACATTGGTAGAGGGAGTTTATTTACTAAGAACTCTCCATGTCACTGAAATTAGAGATCTGAACAAAAAAAAAGTACCAAACAACACAAAATCAGAGAAGAGAAGAATGGTTAGGGTTGAGGTAAGAGGGTTAGAGAGAGAACAGATGACATAAGAAAGGCCATCTGTAAGAGGTGGACAATAATCCCTGTCTTGAGTCAAAATAAAGATTCTGAAATATGGAGGTGAAAAATGAGGCCATTCTAAACATGGGGAGACTGCCTTGCAAAGGCAGAGGGGTGAGAAATGGCATAGCATGTTCTGTATGACAGCTGGTAGGCCAATTTTGCTGAAATGGAGAATGTAAAGGGGAGGGGTAATATGAAATTAAACAAAACTATAAAGGAGGTGGGAGCCAATTGAAGCAGGACTTTCTCTTAATTTAATATTTTATTTTTCCCCAATTACATGTAAAAACAATTTTAACATTCTTTTTTCCTCCAAAATTTTGAATTCCAAATTCTCCCCACCCTTCCCACCCCTCCTTGAGAAGACAGGCGGTTTGACATGAGTTATACACGTGTAGTCATGCAAAACACATTTCCACTTAAATCATTCTGTGAAAAAAAACACAGACCAAAAAAACCCATGAAAAATAAAGAAAGTAAAGAAAAAATATCTTTTACCTGCATTCAGGCTCTACCAGTTTTTTTCTCTGGAGACAAATGGCACCTTTCATCATAAGTTCTACAGAATTGTCTTGGATCGTTGTATTGCTAAGAATAGCTAAGTTATTCATACTAGATCATCATGCAATATTAGTGTTACTGTGTACAGTGTTCTCCTGGTTCCTGAGTGGGACTTTAAATACCATACAGATTATTTTGCATTTTCTGAGAGTTGGGAGACACTGATCATTTTTTGAGTGAAGTTGTGACATGGTAAGGCATGCTTTAGGAATATCAGTTTAGCAGCACTGTGAACAATAGAATATAGAGGGGAGCAACTGAAGTAGAAAGAACAAATATGAAACTGTTGCAATAATCCATTGAGAGGTAATGAGAGCCTTAGCTGGTGAAGAGGCTTTGTAACTGTAATCAATAGAATTATGTGAGAGGAGATGCTGAGATAGATTCAACAAAACTTGGCAGCTGATTGGGTGGGAGGAAGGAGGTAAGAGAGAAGAAGAGGTGTGGGTGAGTCATAGGTTGCCAGTTTAGGTGAGTGGAAGGACAATAATGTTCTCAGTGGAGGAGGGATAGATTTTTGGGAAATACAAATTCTGTTTTGAACATCCAGCTCCTCCCCCTCTCCCTCATAACAAATAATTATATCCAAGCAATCAGATCATCAATTTGTCCATCTCTGAAAATGAGTTTCTCATTCTATACATCTAGTTAATCTTTCTGTCAAGGGATGGGAGGCATGCTTCATCATCTCTGAAGTCATGATTGGTCATTTCATTGATCAGAATTCCGAAGTCTTTCAGAGTAATTTTCTTTTACATTATTGTGGTCATCATGTAAATTTTTCTCTTCTTAATTCACTCTCTCTTAGGTCTATTAGGTCACACAAGTCTTTCTGAATTCTTCACTCATGTTCATCATTTCTTATGTGGCAGTCGTTTTGCATTATATTCATATTTTTGTTGTTGTTCAGTCATTTTAGTTGTGTCCTACTCTTTGTGAACCCATTTTGGGTTTTCTTGGCAAAGATACTGGAGTGGATTGCCATTTCCTTCTCCAGCTCATTTTACAGATGAGGAAACTGGGGCAAACAGGTTTAAATGACTTGCTGAGGGTCACACAGCTAACAAGTGTCTAAGGCCAGATTTGAACTCAGGAAGATGGGTCTTCCTGATTCCATGCCAGGCCCTTTATATACTTTATCCAGCCTCTTATCTGCCTTTACTTTCATATACCACAGTTTATTTAGCCGTTCCTCAATTGAGGGGGGTACCCACTTTGTTTCTAGCTCTTTGCTACAATGTGCAGTGTTTACAGACATATTTTGTACCTGCGGATCCATTCCCTTTTTTCTTTGACCTCTTTATGGTATGTGTTTAATAGTCCTACTACTGGGTTAAAGGATATGCAGTTTATTCACTTTTTGAATATAACTCCAAAATTGTTTTCAGGAACAGTTGGAGCCCTTCACAGCTGTTGCTGACAACTGTTTTTTTTTTCCTTTTTTGGTCACTTTGCGGATATTTTGGGTGCAAAATACATGTAGATTTGATTTTGCATCCTGCCCTAGCCACTTATATGACCCTGGGAAAATTATTTAATCTCCTTCACCCTCAGTTTTCTAGCTTGTAAAATGGGGATGATAATAACATCTACTTGGTGGAATTGTGAAGTACTATTTAAGTGTTAGCTATTCCTATTTCAATTTGCATTTTTCAATTGTTTCTTATTATGAATATTCTTTCAATTTTTTTTGATAACTTGCATTTCTTTATTTAAAAAGTACTTGCTCATATCTTTTGATTACTTATATGTTTTGGAGTAGATAATCTTTTTTCAGTAGTGATAAAATAAATGATTTTCCCAAGTGTTATTCTTCCCCCTTTCAGTTATCTTGAAATGTTCAAGATTAATTTAATCTCCCTCAAATTCCTATGGTTAGTTTAATCTCTCTCAAATTAATCTCCCTAATGCACTCAAAATTGTATTGCTTTCTAGTACAGACTTTTCTTTGTAGTATGCTCAGTCTAACCAGCTCTCTTCCTATCTTTGTTTTCCTTAGTGTCAATTTTACTTCTTCATGTAGCACCTTGGGAATTGATGTTAGAGTCTAAATTTAGTGCTTCTGTTATCATCAGTAGAGAATATATTCTGTTATAATAATCTTAACTTTTCTGTCTTCTGTGGTCTTTCCAATTTAACCCTTAAATGGTTAAGGATCAATTAATCAGTGAGAGTTTATTATCATTTTATGTGCTGGACATTGTACTAGGTCCGGAGGAAAGATGTGAGAAAATGAAACGGTACCTGCATTCATTGAGCATATATTCTTTTTTTTAAAAATAATTTAATAATTTTTTGAGTTTTAAATTTTTTTCCCCTGCCCTCTCATCCCCTGCAACACAGCGTACAATCTGATATAGGCTCTACCTATGCATTCATATTAAGCATATTTTCCCATTAGTTGTGATGTAAAGAGCAATTAGAACTAAAGAGAGGAATCACGAGAATGAAGCAATAAAACAGAACAACAAAGGAAAAGGAGAGCAAATAGTATGCTTCCATCTGCATTCCGACTCCATAGTTCTTTCTCTGGATGTGGATAGTATTTTCTTTCCATCAAGAGTCTTTTGGAGTTATCTTAGATCCTAGGATTGCTGAGAAGAGCCAAGTCTATCAAAGTCAGTCATCTCACAGTGTGGCTGTTACTGGGTACAGTGTTCTCCTATTTTACTCTGCATCAGTTCATATAAGTCTTTCCAGGTTTTTCTGAAGTCCACCTGCTCATCATGTCTTACATTCATATACCACAACTTTTTCAGCCATTCCCCAGTTGATGGACATCCTCTCAATTTCCAATTCTTTGCCACCACAATA